TATCTGTATCATTACTGATATCATTAGTACAGAATCACGTAGTAGATCTACCATCAATATCTGTATCATTACTACAGTATCACGTAGTAGATCTACCGTCAATATCTGTATCATTACAGCATGATATCATTACTACAGAATCACGTAGTAGATCTACCGTCAATATCTGTATCATTACTGATATCATTAATACAGAATCACGTAGTAGATCTACCATCAATATCTGTATCATTACTACAGTATCACGTAGTAGGTCTACCATCAATATCTGTATCATTACTGATATCATTAAGTCTACAGAATCACGTAGTAGATCTACCATCAATATCTGTCATTACTGATATCATTAAGTCTACAGTATCACGTAGTAGATCTACCATCAATATCTGTATCATTACTGATATCCTTACTACAGTATCACGTAGTAGATCTACCATCAATATCTGTATCATTAAGTCTACAGTATCACGTAGTAGATCTACCTTCAATATCTGTATCATTACTGATATCCTTACTACAGTATCACGTAGTAGATCTACCATCAATATCTGTATCATTAAGTCTACAGTATCACGTAGTAGATCTACCTTCAATATCTGTATCATTACTGACACTTTTTGTCTTGTGATATCACATTTAACCTGTATCATTACTGATATCTACAGCAATGTCAATACTGACCTCTACAGTAACTCTACCCTAGCATCAATACATGTATCATTACTGAAATCTTCTGTACTGTGTACTCTTGTATCACCTATCATTATTACCTGTATCATTACTGATCTGTACCGTCCTCCAGACTGGTATCACCCACCATCAACACCTGAATCTTTACTGTGTTCATGGGTACATAACTGAATACCGGAATAATTTCATTTGATTACTACTGATGAAGAAAATAAAAATCTCAATGTTTTTCAACAGTTTAATTAATCATCTATATTGAGCAGTCAAGTTCAAGCAATAAATACAGAACAAACTATATATACCAGTACATAGTCTTTATACTTTAACAAACTTATCACTCAAAGGGTATAACAACAATTTACACATTGGTCATAATGTAAAAATTCAAATTCTTGTAGAAAAATTTAAACATAATTTAATTTATCTCAGATTCCAAAAGACTTGATCTTTCCATTACAATAAGCTAACCAACATTTTACAACTAAATCACATTTGGGTTGGTCGAAGCTAGGGTTGTACATATTCAGTGATTTATTTCAGAAGCAAATAAGAAAAATTGAACATAAAATAGATTTACTTGCTGTATAGATGGCCATTGTGAATTACTATTATCATTAATGCATTTGTTTGTATTTGGGAACATCTGATATACCAGTATCTTTGTCTGATTATAACTGACCACATGTTTACATATAGTTAAGATTGTAAAGAAAGCTTATGTTTTTAAACAATATTAAAATATGGATAATATATAATGATATGAAATGTCTAAATATTTGACTTAGATTATCCTGTAATATACAGACACAGGGTTATATTCCATACAAACTTAACAAAGGAAAGGTTTAGGACATTGTAACAAAAACAGTAATCTTAAAAAAAGAATCAAGAAGAAAACTTATTTGTTAATGAACAATAAGGTGACCAAAATACTAGACATGAGTCAATTTTCTTATCTTTGAGGTTAAGAGGTTATTTAAACTTTTTGTGTGTGTTGGGAGCATCAATTTGAACCATTCCAATATAATTCTCTCCATTCCACTAAAACTTAGCGTTTCATTCCAACACTATCATATATATATTGCAAATGTCCTCAGATATTATAAACAGCCTTTGCGACAGTGAGATAGTGATAAATTGCTCTATTTTAGTGGAATTACAAAAAACACGGACATCTGATTGAAAATTGAAACACATGAAATGTCTAGAATACATCATAAAATTGCTTTATATCTGTGTAATGTTACAGTGAATATATATTTCAAGATATATAAATGGAAAATATACTAATGGCAAATCAAATGATGTAATTCTACTACATTGTACATCATGAAATCTTCAATGCTTTAGATTTATTAAATTTTATCAGCCAGACTGTTTATATTCTTAAAAATATTGGGTCAGTTCTCACATTAAGAAGTCATTTTGTTTTCCATTATGTTGGAAAATTCTGGAAACCAGATCATAAAATTATAGAATTTAGACTTGGAATAACCTCTAATTAACTTCCCTTTTCTCCACTCAATTCTTGAATTTTCAGGGATACTGGGAACTAGATGGACATTTTATGTCAACCAAGTAGAAATTTACACTAAATATGACCAATCTACTATATTCTAGGGGCAGAACACATGGTAATTAAAAAAAAAACATGTAGTTATAACCTCCTATTCTACCTTGAAAATAAAATAGACTGAAACCATTATGTAACCATATATTTTAGAGTAATGAAGCTTATATAACAAAATGAGCATAAAATAAAAATAGATTTGAAAACAAGCATGTAAACAAAGAATTCAAAAATTGACTACTTGAGCTATAAACAAATATTTACAATTGGTACAATATGGATTGTGTATTAGTGGTGTAAAAAAAAAACGAGGGATAGAGTTGAATGCTGCTAAGTTTTCCTGCATTATTCCAATTCTTCAAATAAAAATATAAATTATTCACAATTTTTGTGAATGAATTGACAATTACACTAAACAATTTAATATTAATCTAAAAATTGTCCTTCAATAACAACCATTACTAGCATGAATTATTATTTCATTAGTCATACATATCTTGAATAATTGTAGTTTCTCTGGTGTTCTACAGCAAAAAATGAAGATCCACTTCAAGGTGAAAGGTCATAACTTATACTGTCCTTTCTGATATTTCTGAATTTTAATATGGTTCATCATTGGGTTATAAAACAAAGAATTCCACCATGGATTCAATTAATTTTGCTTCACAACATTATTGTTTTTTATACAAGAATTTAATAAAATAATGATAAAATATCAATCTTCTATTTACATTAACATATAACAATATCAATAATATTAGCAAGAAGTGAGTTATGAGATAGTTGTCCAGGTTACATTACAAGAAATTACAACTGTGACATACAGAATAAAGAGACCTCACTTTGATGTATGAACCTATCTTCTTGGTATATTTCAAGTATTGAATTATAACTGAACATCATGGTAGGAAAAATTTTTTAAATCCAAGAGTGTTTTTTTAGCAAATGAAGTTGACAATAATGGAAAAACCAAAATAATACAATTTTTTGCACATTCTGGTTTGATTCCTAACATAATAATGAACTGTTAACTTGAATGAAAGATACAATATAAAACAACTGAATAAAACAAGCCTGGCCACATATTGTTGAAACGATCTTAGCTCTAAGATGTCCTAAGGTTTTATATGTATTCTAAAACTGTTCCTAGGATATCCAAATGCCAATATCATTTTGTGAATACATGACCTGGTTTTTAGAGTGTTAATAATTATTTTAAAATAAACTACACTTTTCATGTTTATGTTTTACATAGTTCCTGAATATGGACAAATATCTTTGATTTAGTTATGTGGCTAACATCTTTCAAAAAACAACATTCTTTCACCTTTTTCAAGAGGTTACAGTAATGATCCTCTTGTTTGACCAGCAGATAGGTTAAAGGACGATGGACATCCTGGAATGAAGGCATGTAACTGGGGGGACAACACAGATTTAATTAATCTCCAATATTCATAATGCTGATAAATTTTATTTTAAATAAAAGATACCTTATTTCATTTGCAGTCAATTTAAAACTAGAACTTTGATTGGTGGTTATAAATAGATGTCCAATCAAAGATTAGAATGATAATCTGGTTGTGGTGTAAAGTAACTGATAAATGAATAAATTACTATAAAATCAACTATTAACAATTGTTTCATATATTTTGATAAATCTGTGTTTTTTCTTCTGGTACTCTGAAAAACAGAATTACTTTGTTCATTAAAAGGTTAAGAAAATCCTTAATATGTAGGTGACAAACCCAAACAGTTAATATACCCTGTAAAGTTTCAAAAACAGAATATAAGCTTGATATTATCATAAGGTCCCCTTATCTATAAATAATATCCAAGAAATGTCCCTGAATGTAGTTTTTACAAGCAATTGAGGACAGATTATAGACATGAAATGCCAATGTATACTCCACATTTTGCATGTGGCTTTAAAGGAATATGTTTTATATAAATTGTAGTCTTACTGTGGTACTGGTCGGTCAGGTCTAACAGGTCTAGTAGGGGTAGTAGTAGGAACAACACCTGGAGGTATTGGTCGAGCTTGTCCTGGATTCAATCCCTGAGCATATCTTATATTAGTATATTCACGTCCAGCCAGCTGACTTTGCTGTAAAATAAATGTTTTGATAAACTACAAACTCGATTATATCCATAGTTCATGTTCTTAGTAAGAAAACATACTGTGTTTGAAACAATCCCTATGTACAAAGCTTGAATTTGATCTTAATTTTAGGTCTTGTAAACACAAACCAAATTCTATCACAATCTATCAAAAATTCTGGAGTGTTTATAAGGAAAAATTTATAGACAGACATGGGGCTGACCATACACATCCTATTAGAGAAAGAAATCCTTGGAATTTCCTTAAAAATATTTGAATTCTTGAGCCCTTCAGGGCAACAGGTTAGTAAAAATGTCAGACTCACAAAACCATAAATCAACAGCCCTGATAGGAATAATTTAGACACATTTACACACCCCAAATACTTTACTATAATAATAATCTCTATAACTTACTTGTTCGGCTAACATTCTCTGTTTTTCTGTTTGAATATAATGTGAAATTGCCATATATACAAATTTATATTGAGCCTCTGTTTGTACCATACCAGACCTCTGTGACCGTACACCTTGTATGGTTTTCTGGATATCAATATCAGTATCAAAACCTAGGGAGAGAAAAAAAAAATGACAAATTAATTTATGACAAAAAAAACCAATGGGTATGATGTCGTCTGAAATCCTGTGGAATCCTATGAAAAGAGGTAAAAAGTTTTACAATCTAACTGGTGGAATAAAGAACAGGGGCATTAACAATAATGACATACATTTTGATATTAAGGGGCTTTAATAAAATGAAGTGAACTTAATACTCTTTCTCAAATTGCAATTGTTCAGGAATATCAAATCTGAACCTTTGTCTTGTAATACTATATTAATGAATTGACACATCAGTGTCTACCAACTGAATAACTGACAAAAAGTCTCAAAGAACTATTTCTATCAATGCCAGTATCAAAGTTTACCTTTTTATGTTAGAGACAGATTTCTTAACTTATATATGAATATTGATTCCACAATAGCAAATGATCCACAGGTAAATAAATCATGAATGAAAAGAATAATTTTATCTAATTACATACCTAATGTTGTTATTTGATTTAAAATCATATCTATAACAATAAAGGTTCCTGTTCTACCAATACCAGCACTGAAATTCAATAATACCTCAATTAATTAATCATATATCACCTTTGATATTGAAACTTATATTTAAAACACAACTTTTCTTTGTTTCATCAATCAGATTTAAATTCATATCTGGATATTTTGTCTAATGACTTGCCCCCCATGATCTGACGAATGTGTAACACATCTTATGTTCAAGGTCATATAATATTCAAACAATCAAATGCTCTGTTGTATAACATTTACTTTTTAATGTGAAGAATTCTGGAATATTCATTGATTAAAACATTCACTTATAATGTCTATCTACCTTTAATGGTGTATTCCATTGATTAGCATAAATTAAAACAACTTTTGTGGTAATTTGACTGAATATGACTTAAAGAAGAATTTGGACAAATCAAAAGGAATGACAATCTACCTACCTACAATGGACAATCAAAGGTCCAGCATCTTCTACAGAATATTGTTTAGAATTAATGGTATATAGAAACTTTAACACACTTCCAGGATCTTGTGGCACTCCATAATCAGGCCATGTTTGAAAATGGTACTGATAGATTATTCTTGGACTCTCTACCATCTGCATTAAAGTAAAAGCTGACTTTTTAAGGGACAACAAAAAAAACTAGTGTTTCTTATGTTATAAAAATTATAGAAAGTGTGAAATACATTTAGATATGAGGCACAAAAGGTGGTCCCAAAACCCACAACAAAAGCAATGTTATTTTCTTTTTATACATAACGCGAATTGTAGATAAATAAACCAGTCATAAGGTTTATGATGTCACAATCTTAGAAACCACATAAAAAGAGAAGAGTCAAATCACAAGATGGTGGGAGGCAATTTGATTCTTGATAATTTGACATTTCATGTTGGCGTATAAAAAACGGTACACAACATTAATCTGATTATTTGATGACTAATGACTATAGCATGATAGTTGTTAAAACAGACTTTATCATTAAGATGTTGAATCATTTCCTGCATCTCATACTACTATGCATAAGTCTTAATGACTAATGATTTACAAATGCATTATAGCAAGATTTTAAATGTAATTGTGACAAGATCAAACAGTCCGTAGACTCTGTTAACCAAATGAGGTTTATCCAAAGATAAATTATTTTTTATTTGCACAAAAAAATAAACATAACTGCTCTTACCTGTCCTTCTAGGGTCTCCATTACTAATTCCATTTCTCTAGTGATAAATTCTGTTTCTTTTGATTCTTTCAATAGCTTGACTTTTAGTTTCCCACAATAAAAACTATATTCTTTGGCTCCTTCATTTTCTTCTGGCCAATATTTAGTTGCTTTGTTCTGGAATTATTTCGTAGTCAAATTGATAAAAAAAATCTACAAGATTCCAGAAACAACTCAATTGGATAAGATATAAAAAAAAGTTTTTTTTGCATCAACATTCAGTCAGGCAAGGACATTCTCAACCAAACAAGAAAGGAAATTCTTCCACCAACCAAACAAGAAAGGAAATTCTCACACGCAAACAAGGACATTCTCACAACCATGCATGCAAGGGTATCTCCGATTAAAACAAGGACATTTTCTCAATAAAACAAGGACATTCTCCCAACCAAACAAGAAAGGAAATTCTTCCGTCAACCAAACAAGGACATTCTCCTAACCAAACAAGAAAGGAAATTCTTCCGTCAACCAAACAAGGACATTCTCCTAACCAAACAAGAAAGGAAATTCTCACACACACACACACACAGCACAAGGACATTTTCACAACCAAGCATGCAAGGGTATCTCAGATTAAAACAAGCACATTCTCTCAATAAAACAAGGACATTCTCCCAACCAAACAAGAAAGGAAATTCTTCCGTCAACCAAACAAGGACATTCTCCTAACCCCATTGTCAAAATCAAGACCTTCTCAAAATCATGTACATTCTCCAAACAAAACTTGGACATTCTTACAACAAATGACATTTTTCAAAAAATCAAGGACAATCTTCTCACAAAGCAAGGACATTCTCAAAAAATCAAATGAGGATATTTTTTAACCAATCAAGGACATTCTCAAACCAAGCTTGGACTTCTCACAACAAAGCAAAGCCATCCTCCCAACCAAATATGGGCATTCTCAACACCAAACAAGGACATTCTCCCAACAGAACAAAGCAGTCTCCATAAAAATATTAGCTGTAACAATAAAATCTTACCCTTCCACGTTCCACTTCTTTTGTTGTCATGACAATAACTCGTGAATTTTCTTGCCATACCATACGCCAGAAATCTACGATAGTGTTTGGAAGACAACCCTGGGTGGCTATATATTGTTTCTTTGGTTCATTTGATTCTTCATCAGACTGAAAAATACAGTAATTCACTAAATTGTATGAGGATCCTTTTAACAAATTTTGAACTCTATCATACTCTATTAATATGTCAGGCTAATTCTATAGTCCTGTAAACTATTTATCATTGTTGTTCAATTTACATATTTAGAGTAAGTAAATCAATTTTACTACTTTGAGATTTAAGTATATTAGCATTTTCAGTGAAATACGGTGTGACCCTGAGTGTTATTAAAGGAACACAACAAAAACCTGTGATAATTTGTCAAAGTAATTAAGGAAAAAAAGATGCCAAATATATACTCCTTACACCTTACTTACTGAGATAGTGTTGGCATTGATATAATCAGACCCTACAACATTAGGATCACCATCTTTTAATATAACTCTTGTATGATCAACTGAAATAATTAAATTCTTAAATTAGTTAAAGTGATCATATTCTTAACATTATTGGGCTCATATTCTGAATAACCAATTATTCACAGAGGTATAACTGTATCAACAACATTTTGGTTATATTGGTCAGTAAAGTTTATCTTGACATAAATATGTCCTAAAAAAGATCTTCATCCTTGAGTTAGATTAATTATCTCTAGCTCCAATAATGATATTTACTGAGAGTAATGTAACCTACAAGGAAGGATATTCTTATATCTATTTTTAACTTTATTTTCAGTTCTCTGTCCCTCATTTCTACTGAACTGTTTGACTTCCTGCTGCTGTAATATCTGCAGAAAAAAACATAAACAATTTGCAAATATCTGATCTTGAAGTTATTGTCTCAAATGTATGAAATTTTGGTTTAAATTCAATGTCCCATAGAATTTAAAGATATTATATAGATAAAGGCATCGGTAAAGAAGCACAAGATATATGGATATACTATTTCTGACATTTATTAACCCAACGTTTCACATGCACAAACAGGATGTGTTATCAAACGAATATATTATTCATTTCTCTTGATAAGCCTGTATGAGCATGTGGAACATTGAATTGATAAATTTTCTTTAAAATATCTTATTTATAGTATTCTTAACATTTGTAAGACAAGCTTATCCAGAAACCAGCCATTTTGCGCACTTATATAAATGTGCCACAAATTGCAATTTATCACGACTTGTATATCTGTTACAGAAAAACTCACTTTAAATTCATCCCAAAAACCACCCTTATTATTAGAATTTCCTTCTTTCATATCTCGTTCATGTTGTAAAACTTTAATACGATTATCAATACCTGATGCTGTGATACGTGTTGCTTTAAATGGCTGAAAATACAAAACCAGATTTTACATTTAAAATCATGACTGGTACACTGAATCAAAAAACCATCATTGTAAATATATTCATGATCAAATAGTATTCAAAAAATTATTCAGTAAGATTGTCATATTAAACAAATATATTATAGTCTAGAAATCAATGTCCTTAAAGAGATTATATAAAGGTTTTCTAATTGATTGAAATTTGAAATAGTAAAAACCTGTTTACAATTTCTTTAAGGCATTCATGAGAATTTATCAATCAAGTTGATCACAAACAATATTTCCCTGTACTAAAATCAACCTAATATAACCTTATACTAAAAACCTGAATTATATCAATTTAATTCATTTTTTTCAAGTTTAATGACCTACTTTCGTTGATATATTTAACTTTATTCAAGTATGGAAATACTTCATTTCATTGAAAAAAGCATATTATTAACTGTTATATCTCTACTCAATATTTAAAGTCAACTTATACTATTAAAGAATGTTTCGCAAATAAATCTTCACAATGAAAATTTCAGTTACTTAGCACTGTATATTCTATAAATGAGCCCAGTCGATGCAATGTACCAAATAAATTTATTACCTTTTTAAGATATACAACTGTGCCTGAAGTTTCCACCATGGGTGTTTTTTTATAATGTTCTACAAGTTCTGATAAACTAGCGAATTTTTCACCACCACCAACATCATATTTACCATCCTATAAACAAAATACAAAATTTAACAGGTTTAATATTAGACAGTGAGAATACATTTTATTATGCTTAAAGATGGGTTCCCTTATTTTCATTTATGAAAATGCTACATATTCATATGAATAGAAAGTAGAAGTGTTCTAAAAACTTGGAAATATACCAGTTTGTCTCTCATATCAATAATTAATTCATAATTAGTTAAATTTGAAGAGAATTACCAGCAGAATTCCCATGAGTGACCGATTAAGAAAGATCAAAAAGTCCTTTTTTTTGTATATCCAGACTGTACATACATGGATATTTATGATTGGTTAAAACTCTTAATTATATATATAATTATATTATGAGAATACATGATAATTAATAAGAAACATCAGTCAATCGAATAGTTTGCTCAATTTGACACTAAAATATAAGGAAACCCATCGTTAACTTGTACGCACAGAATCACTGTTTTTTTTTCAACTGGCTTGGATAAAGCAGGCAGGAAACCTGCAAGGGAATATGGAATTCAAAGATAATGAATTAAGTAGGACCAAATTTGGAGAGTATATTATGATACTTATATAACAATATCGCTATTTATCTGTATTTTTAAATGAAGGGATATTACTAACAATATAAATCTTATATAATTATTGATCGTGATACCTTCATATCTCCCAGGGCTACTTCCTTTTAAAATGAAATAATGCTTACCTGACACCTGATTTTTACATGAGTGACCCTATCTTCTCCCCGTACAGATAAAACAAAAACACCAGGATTTGAATGACTTTCTCTTACTAAATAACTACCATTTTTACCTTTATCCATCAAACAATTCTCAGCTTCTTTACCTGATATATGACCATGAAACCACCTAGGGAATAATGAAAATAATATCATTATTAATGTTGACTGGTAGAGATGATGTTCAGTTGCAAACATAGTTTCACTGCCTAGTGGGTCTGCTAACATTTAAAATATCAATACTTATCTAGCTTGGGTTTATATATGCATGTATAGTGTGCAGTCTTTTTACTCTGAAAAGGTTATGTCAACTGGGGGAGCGCATTATAGACAGTGACAAATAATATAGAATTTTTATACATGTTTATTGATGGCCCACAATTTTGCCATTGATCGCTGATGGTCAACAATGGTAATATGGAAGACCATACCACATAATGACAAATGTAAAATATCTAATACATAGTTATATACTAAAATGATCTTAATTTTCTTTTAATTGTTTTAATTTTCACATGCCTTTCAGGAGTGGGGTCCTCTGAATTAAAGGGAAACTTGAGTTCAATAATCTCGCCATTTCTTTCCTTTAACTGTTCCTGATTATCCATATAATGTTGTACCAGTTCTGATAGGGTGGCAAATTTCTCCCCTCCATATAAATCATAGAAATCACCTGTATTCTGTATTTTAATATGTGTAACTTCTCCATTTCGTCTGAAATATGTTTAATGTATGTTTAATATACATGCATTTTAATTTCATTACCTTATACTTTTCTGAAAATAAAATTTAATAACCTTGCTAAACAATTTAGAAATATTGGGTAATTTTTATAGCCCTCATCTCTTTCTTTCATATATATATTTATATATATATATATATGCATTTTGTACTTTGACATGTGTTAGTCTTTATGGTCAATCCATGAATTTATTGTTGGTTTAATATTAGATAGAACTCAATCACAGAGCTAACCACAAGGTCAAGCATTGGTTTGTAATGTAAATAACATTGCTAAAGAAAGAGTGCAAATTCAATTACAGAACTTTTTCACTCAAAACTTCATTTTGACACCCCAAAGGTATTTTCAATTAGCCATATTTCAAAATTTCACAAACAAATATCATTGCTGTGGTAACAACTATCAGAGCAGACGGAAGAAAATTTGTCTAATATAAATGAATGTGAAGTGACTTTATCCTTATCTGATCTATAGAAATCTGAAGAATGTTAATAGGTCTACAACACTTTTATTAATTCACCAATATATTTGTTCAGATAAATCCCTTTAACTAACTATGTTTCTGTGGTAACAATTTTTATTATGAATAATATTTAATGTGTTTTCAATATGAATATATGCCTGCAGGATACTATAATAAACTTGATATCTTAACCATACTGCAGGGTGAACTTAATATAGGCCTTATTTATATTATCACTTATAAGCATATTATATCAATTTATTAAACCTTCAATTTGGACAAATGACAATAAGAAAATAACTTTTCTATTTTTTTGAGTGATAAACATCTGATGCTTTTATCTGAAACCAGGTTACAAAAAAAAATACAATCTATGAAGGACAAATTACAGAATGTGCTAGATGAAATACACATTCATTTATAGATTTATAGGACAATAAATAAAGAAATAACTAAACTTGTATGCTGTAAAATAACAGCAACATAAAAACAAAAGTCGCTCAAAGTATTTTAAAAATGTGTAAAATCAAATATGTATTTCCATTAAAAATAAATTTTCCTTTTTTCAAGTGAAGTCAAAATCTTTGATTAACATTCCAATGATAAATAGAGCAGATATGTCAAATGGTGCTAAATGTTATCTTAGTTTAAAAGTTGCATCAATTTGAATTACTCATAGATAGATATGGGAAAATAAAAAGGACACTGTGGTTAAGTAAATCTTTTGGCAAGAAAAGTCTGCTTGGAGCCAAACAGCATGAATGAACGGTACTTCAAGATTATTTTATTTTAGTTTCACATCTGAGAAGACTCAAAAATACAATCAACAATCACTTCTGAACAAATTTCAAATACAAATGACTGAATAGAAATTCATAATTTATTTAAATTGGTCCTTTAAATTTAACATAAATTATCAATTGGAAATAAAAAACCTTGACATTCTATTGACATAATATAGCTATACATGTATATATATAATATATATTTTATAAGAGGAAGTGATAAAATACTTAGTAGTACAGTCATACACTACATGACTACACCACCCATATCTATGCCTTTTCTAATCATACATCTTGAGAACTTAAAATTCTGATATTCAAATCAACCAAATTTGATCTCTGTAAGCTTAATCACTTAAATTGTTTCTGAACTTAACCAGTGAACAAATTTAAAGACTGTATTTTTCTCACCATAACTTTTATATCATGATTTAAACAATAGAGTAATGAAAGTGAACTCCATTTCAAATAATTTTTTTTACTTAAATTTAAAGTGTCATCTAACTGAAGCACAAGCACCAGTCAGCAATAGCTGGCTGAAGGATATTTCTTGCTGTTAGGAATCAGACACTGGTACTAAATCCCTAGTTCTAGAGACAGTGATACACGGAAATTTTTATTTGCCTGTACAGATTGTGGTACATGGAAATTTATTGGAACAATTAACTTTTATTTGTAATCACAGATTGTGGTTCATGGAAATCGATGTGAACAATTAACTTTTATTTGCCAGTACAGATTGTGGTTCATGGAAATCGATGTGAACAATTTACATTTGCCAGTACAGATTGTGGTTCATGGAAATCGATGTGAACAATTAACTTTTATTTGCCAGTACAGATTGTGGTATATGGAAAATGACTGTCCGATAACTCATATCAGTGTGTCTTTATAAACTAAAACCTTTAAACATGTAGTAAAACAGATAAAGCTTGGTAGGTTTACTCAATAGTATACATAATATATTTATATAGTAACTGAATACTGTTCTATCATAAATTTTACAAAAATTCCTATATATCTACTTCCTCAATATAGTCAATTGAGTCATTGAATCACAAAACACAATTGAGATTTTCCTATTGATATAAAAATTCACAGTAAATTTGAGGTCAACTAACATGACAACCGTCTACTAAATTCACATTCCCAACGCATTGATATGCAATTTCAAATTTTGCTAAAAAAAATTGGGCACCAAAGGTGTGTACGTCTTCAATTTTTTTAAGAATAAGAAGCCTGTAAGCACCATTTCCTGGGACAAGGGAGGGAGGTCCTCCCTCAAGAGTTTTTAAGAATTTTCACATGAATTTTCCCCATCCCAAGAAAAGTGCTTTTCTACCCAAGATGGGGTCGCAACCCTGAGGTTGTTTCTTTGAAGGGAATCAAAATTTTAATACAACTCATGTAAATATTTTGAAGCTGGCACATGCTCCCCCATAAAAGGACAAAAGTTTTTTAAATTTCTCTTGTGCAGACCTGTTCCTTTAATTGAATCAAAGATAGTTTGCCAGGCAAGGTAACATACGCCCACTGGCGGCTGTCAGAAATAATATAACAGTCTTTAGTGACTACAGTATGAATTTTTTTTTAAATATTAAAGAAATTTTAATAGTTTGAATTCAATGATATATATATTTACTGACAGTTATTTATGCTGAGAAATTCCACCAAATTTTTAAAAATCAATATCAATAACCCAAATACATTAAATTATCTCATCACTATACATGATCAAACCATTTTTCATTAAAATTAATTGAAAATTGTAGTCTCTAATGTGTTCACAAACAAATTTTGACACGTATATCCTAAGTCAAACCATTCATCGAAATATCATCAAATTCGAACTTGTCCATGATCTCATCAATATAAATGATCACACCAAATTTCATTAAAATCAGTTGAAAACTGTAGTCTCGACGGACGGACCGACAGGGTGATTACAATATATGCCCATCTGATGTGTGGGCGTATAAAAACGATTAGGATAAGACTTGGTTTTTAGGCTGCCAATAATCAGAAATCATATAACGCCCAAATCGTAAAGTTGTAATTTGACTGTATTATCCTAATCATTACGCCCAAATCAGAATGGTTTGAATCGGTTTGACTCGGTTTAACTCTGCTTGTGGCTAAGGCTAAGATTGGACATGAGAGTTTGTATGGTTAATTTCTAATTTGATCTGATCAAATGATCACCTCTTTCATGCTCAAATCATGGTCTTCAAAATAATCAATGTCTGAGTAAATTATAAAAATTTTGAAGTTTTCCAATTATTTTATGAGAATTGGTATAGCAGCCTAAAAATAGTACTGTTAGTCTGTATCATATCTCAGATTCACTTCTGTTATCAGGGGACATTATTTTCATGCAAACTACAAGCAAAAACTGGTTAAAAACCACTGTTCTATCAACATTATAGACAGATTAACATGATGTGTAGCAACAAATTTTTGTTGTCCATAATCTTTCAAAAATATAATCATTTACCTGACAGAAAGAGTAAAATCCCCTTCTTTACTGCGACTAGGTCTTGCAAGAAAACTTCCATCAGTGCCTCGTTCACGTAATAATACTTCTGCTTCCTTACCCGTAATATTGGGGTGAAACCATCTGAAAATGTACCAATAACAAATTCATGAAATTTATGTTGTACGCCTTGGCTTTTACACCATTCACTGTTAGCTTTTCAAGTTTCCACATTTTACACTATATAACAACACAGACCATGCATAGCCTAAGCCTGCAAATCATGACACACAATTCCTTTAATTTACACATTAATCAACCCTACTCCTCCTACTAGTAAATCTTATATCAAACATGACATACCTTCCACTGAATGACATTTCTTAGACACAGGGCATCTCACTATTTGTTATATAATTCAATTCTGATCTCACCTCTCTGTGGTCATGGTCAAAGTAAGTCTAAAGATGATGATGATAAAGTGAAAGTGAAAACTGAATTAACATTAAACTTATTATAGCCTAGGCCTACTTTGCAGGTCAATAGGACTATTCTGATAATCTGATTCATCGAATATGTCATTTTGCCCATTTATCTTCATCGCCTCTACATTATTTGAATGAATGATCATTCAAATGTGCTCAGTGTATCGACATAATAGCCTAGTGGTAGTGAGCCAAATAATGATATTTATGACTATGAGTATGATGAATGGGGGTAAGCGGGTAAGGCTATGACTTGGCCTACCTGTTGCACACTTAAAATGTTTCCGGCAATATAACACCAGAACAGAAAGAAACTTACTTGCGAGACGACATTCTCGGTTGAGCCGGGGAGATCGTCACCATTAACTTCTTTAATAAGCGTGTCAGAATCCAAATATCAACTACTTGATTTTTCTTTTAACTCATGTAAATATCCATTAATGATGGCGGAAGTAAGTCAACTTGCCTCGTTTTCGACTTCCTGCTTACAGTAATACCCTCATAATATGGACAGAGCAATTAATTATATCACAAATGTCTCAGGCTTAGATAACTTTTGAAAAGACTGATTGTCATTAAGCCTAATCAAGTTCAGCAGATCTAATAACTTAATAATAAATTTATCATGTAGGTATAGCCTACTAGGCCTACTACTTGCCAATTAAATTTTACTTGCTATGCTAATTCTGATGTGCCCCATCATCTTAAATTCTTACTTTAGATTGCCTATAAACATAGGCCTATTGTAGCATTAGCAACAGCTGTTTGAAATTTATCTGAGCTTTTAAATCCTGCTATCTCTAACCTACAATATCCCTTAATTAGTTGTTCTAGTGAGTGTCCTTTTAAGTCTAAGGATTGATGGAAAAAACATCTAGTTGTTCTGATGGGACAGCCTGCATGACATTGTCATCATTAGCCCACATGGTGCAGAAAAGAATGTCGTAAACCTCCATTTCAATTTTGCCTTACGATTTCTGTTAATGAAAAACTGTTATTTGGAAATTTCAAATTTGTCAGTGCAGATAACTTTTCCGTCTGTACATTTTATCAATCAGCTAAACTATTCAAGCAAATTTCAGTTCATATTTGTGATTTTAATAGATTCTTACTTGGGATGAGAAAACTCATCAAGAATTGTGAACTCAATATTGCTTATGATCATTTGTGGACAAATAGAAGACTCAGTGACAGACAAACAGGCATGGGACACAGCAATGTTTGCTAGATATTTCATGGGAACATGAAAAACAACTAACCATATTTGACATGGCAATTTATTGCATGACATCTCAACATTCATTTTGACATCATAACAAACTTTTATTCATCCAGGATTAAGATTCATTCATTCATGATAAAATACATTCATTCATCAATTCATTCTTACAATCTTTCAAAACAAATGCTGTGAGGTTATTTGTAACAATGGTTATTCTGACTTAAAACTTTCAAATAACTTTGAATTTAACAGCAAAAATAATTCAAAGATTGGGTTTGTTATTCTGCAAAATGTTCTTTATATTTTCTTATATTGAAAGTCATTTTAACAGAAAATAATATCATGACTAGAATATTTTACAAATATTTAACTAAATGTCTTTTTTAATGATTTTTTAAATTGATCTCATTTTGCTGCAAGTATCAATTACACAGCCTATGCTTACTCCACCTCACACATTCTTTAATCACACACAAAACACATACTTACAATCATACATACAACACACAAATAAAATATGGCATCTATCACACAAAAACAAAATAAAGGTTTAAACATTCATATATACATTGTCATCAATGATTCCACTACATGTATGTCACTATAGCAACTGTCAATAGATCTCAAGCCAAATACATCATGCAAAATTGCAATTGGTTGTTTTGTCTTTTTTTTTTTTTGCGAAAAGTGCTGAAATTGAGCCTAAAAAATATTGATATCAAAGGTGATTAAGACTATCATATCAGCACTGTATCTAGTTCCTTTTGAACAACCAGTCAAATGACCTGATGTTCTGTTCAAGATTTACTACCTATCAGACAGGCTTCTTACTTTACTGACCAAAAATCTCATACACATAATTGAAATATTTTTTACACTAATGTCAAGATGGAAAAAGGATTCAGAAAGAAGAAAGATATACAGAGTGAAAATTGTACAGAAGAAGTTCTATTTTTAGGGGTGTTTTCACATGGTTCGATCAATTTTCTTGGATTCTATTTGGTCTTTCATATTAAAAACAAACTTAAAAGAATAAATTATGCAAGAAAAAACAAACAAAATTATTTGTACATAACTTAATGTTAAATAAATATTTAATTTCTTATAACAGAAAATAGAAAATCTAAAAAGGCACTGTTTTGAATATAAGTGTTGAAAAAAACAAGTCAAATTTCTAATGCATATTATCTCTGTTAATCAAAGAAAAGAAATTTAAAGGTATTATCTAAATCAAACTGAAATTATTACAGGAAACATTCCTCATATAACAGTGTTATTTAGTTACAAGCCAAATTGTTCATATGTTTACTATCAAATGATATATTGAAAATTGCTTCCTGAATTCTTATCACAGTAGTAAATATTTGGAATAAATTCAAACAAATATTTGAGATTATCCTGTAAGGTGGGCATTTACTGGGTTTGGTACAGAGAATTCTACATTACTAGAAGAAGTGAATAAAACTCTCACTTGTTTCATATAGCATTATATTAACTAATTTAAAGATGGGTGGTGATATGTTTTATTAGATATCTTGATAACTCACTTAAAGTGTCCTCACACTATAGTGATTAACATTTACATATGGTTGTCAATAATGAAAGTAGTTTTGAGTGTCGAATGATGCTCACAACTCAGCTGCATCATATCTTATTACTGCTGTTCTTATTTCTAAACATATAGAAAAGATTGCTATAGTGTGAGGGCCCCTTTACTTTTTTATGGAAAATGTATTTGTAGGATGTCTTGATTGTCCAGTTTTATTTAGTTATGAAGAGGACAAGTAATCTACGTGGATGAGGACAACACCACAGATATCATTTTTACAATAACATCCATTTGACATGGACATAATTCAAGTAACAGTAATATTTGTTATCAACTAAACGAAATTTTCTATTTAAAATCCCTATTTAAACAGATATCATTCCAGTGGGACATTCACATCACGATAAGCATATTGCTTCGTAATCTGTTTTATAATACAATACTGGTGAGCATTAAGCAGTTGAAAACCTCACAAATATCAGCACCAAAATAGAGAATTCCAGATGTTTTGGGGAATAATTTTGATCTACTTGTCAATTATGTTAAAAAAAGATTGACGTAAATAATTTATTTCCTCTAACCAAGAGAGCAAATATAATAGAATGATGGAGAAAGATATTAAAGTGCCAACTTATTTCTGGAGAAGAAAAAAATGCAGAGTTCCAATGATTGATACTGAATTGTTAAAAGGATACTACCCTCTTAAAATGGACATCAAATTTAAAGTTTCAAATTTAGTTAACAAGACATTCATAAGACTTACAAGGTGCCATGACTAAAGAATAGAATGTCTGTATAAGATGATATTTCCATGAAACTAAATAATTATTGAAACAAATACTTAGTGAATTATTATTTAGTTTTATAGATTTATCTGATTATAGAGGGATTCTGTTGTATAATTATGACACCAGGTAACTCCACTGATGAAAAAAGTCTGGAAATTTCAATTATTTGGTCATTCTCAGAGGTAGCATACCTTTAACATGGCTTTCACCCACCTGATAGAACTAAAAACAATTCTTTTCACACAAAACATGGTAACAACTTCTATAAAAAATCTGTTGAAACAGATAAAAACTTGTTAGTACCATTTCCACAATTCAAGACACTCTCAAATCATGAAAAAATGATATCATAGCACCTTTATATGCCTTAAAATTCTTAACCTTAAACCTTTCAAAATTCTACGTGTTAAAAAGTCATGCCTTAAAATACTTAATTTAAAATCAATTCATAGGATATTCTCAATTTCACCAGCATTGACACGATCTGGAGCAGCCTGACAGGTAAATCCCAGGACACTTCCATCCAGTTTCTGCATCTTCTTCTTCTTTTTGCCTTTAGATTTCTGAGCATTGCCCCCATCAGAAGCCTGTGCTGGTTTCCGTTCTTTTGGATTGATGGCCGGTGCTGGACCCCAAATGCTGTCCTGGAATAAGGATAACTTATAACAATAACAAAAACAATGCATCAAGTACAGTATAGTATAACTTACTTCATTATTAACAAACTTAAAAGTTTCAGCACAATTTATACCATCATCAGATGAAATATATGGGAATATATAGCAAAGAACGTTATGAACTAGTTATAAAAATGTTTTATACCATAATATATTCCTTTGTGTTTATTTTTTTTCGTTATTTGCACTTCTAAATGTCATAAATTTTATGTTTTTATTTTGGAACTATAAAGGAGATTCATTGCGAAAATTCTGCCAAGGAGTATAGCAAACAGTGACAAAACAAACACTGATACTTACCTCTTGTTGACGTTTTTCCTGTCGTTTCTTATTTTTATATTGACTTCTCTTTTCTAGGTACATTTTACTAAAATCATTGACAGCTTTAGTTTCACCAAGATATGATCGGACATAGTCATGTACCTAGAATATATGTTAACAAGTTATCTTCAAGGTATTTTTCGCTCTTCCTGCTCCAAAAGCCATGTTTCTCTATTTTTGGGGGTTGATTTCAGTTTTGAACATATGTAAATAGTCTTTAGAATGACTAGAACTTCATATAATTATTTAAATATTCTCTTTCTTTTATTACGTCTTTGCTATATATGGTATAGTATTAAGAAAAGATGAGTGTCATTTTAATTTTCAATGCAGATAATTCTGGACAAAAATGGATTTGAATGCTCAGATTTTGACTGTGAGCTGTGAACACTATTACTGGTTAGCTGATTACTAATTTTCACGTTTCTGAGATGACTGGTCAAACAGGTGGTGAACCTGTCCCTTTTACCAGTCAGAGCTAACTAAAATATAACCTTGCCTTGTTTTATTTGATATTAATATGAACAAATTCCTTACCTCATATGGAGATTCAACATCTTGAAGAAAAGCTATAAATGTTGGCACTGAAAATCATATAACAATAAAAAATTAGATTTTCCAGTTCTTTGAATACAAATTATTTCAGTGGGTTGTAGGCTTCAGGATATCTCTGATAAAGATTGTTCATTTTTCATCTTCCCTACATGTAGTAATGAAAGATATTTTGGCATTTGTGTAAGCTAAAAATGTAACCATACCATCAACTGAGGTAGCAATAGTTTTTAATGCATTCTCACACCAAGTTGTAAACTCATCACTCTTTTGTTGTGGTTTAAATAAACTTTTAACAACCACCTACAATAATAAATAATATCACATTTTACAGTAATAATTGTCTCAGGTACTGAGAGAAGCCTGTACACAATCTTGACAATTGTCTTCATCCTATACCTTGACTGGTCAACTGTCTTGTTTCACAGTCAGCAAATTGATTGAGTTGTAAGCCAGTTTATACAGTCAAACAGATCCCTTGATTTCATGTGTAATTATCTTTTTAAAGTCTTTCTGCCCAGGGCTCAGATTGGCTGTATTCACTAGCATACAATCCAATATGTAATGATGAGTGTCTATTAAGATGATTACTTTTACAACCTCCACATTTATGCTGTTTTTAGACTAGTAAAAAGATGAACATTTACCTCCTCCTTGGTGGTTTTAGCATTTGTTGTTTTTGTAGCTTTGGTAGCTGCAGCTCCCCCTTTTTTATCTTTTAAAGCTGGGAAATCTTTAGCTCTACCAAATAGAAATTAATAATAATTATACCAAGATATGGTCCAGTACATGGACTTCCTATGGAAGTTATAATATATCTGAATATCAACAGGACAAAAGATCATTGAAAATGCTTGTCTACTATCATGCTTTATCAATATCTAACATGGAAATGGAATTAACTACTTACACTGTGGCTGCTGCCTTTTTTTTGGAAGATGGTGGTTGCTCCCAGATACCACCTGCTGCTCCACTCTCACTTCCCCACACACTACTGTTATTATTACTAGCTGATCCAGCCCATGCTGCTGCAGATGCCAAACTCACATTCTACAAATATCAGAAAAGAGTGATATATCGTACTAAAACTATTTACATAGAAACAGCCTGTTTCCCAATCCCTTTAATTAACATATCAATAATATAGCATTTATAAGAAAGTATTATTTTATAATAACTCAATGTGCTAATTGAATGAACATTTTCTGAAGAAGTAGATATTTTATATCAGTACAAGTACCTTGTTAGGTTGTGTCTGTTTCTGTTGGGTTTGTTGTTGACGTTTACGTTCTGCCTCAACTAACTTTGCTTGCTCTTCTTGTTGAATCTGCATTAATGACTTTCTATTTGACGCTGGAGATTGGCTAAAAATGTTAAAATTTACATCATTTTTAAACATATCTCAATTATTTTCATAAAATTTCTATAAAATAAATTATTGAAATGTGAAATGGATTTGATAACTTATGAAATGAAAAAGAAAAACAATTTGATACAATAATACATGAATTATTATGAATAGCTATAAAAGAAGTGGAAAGGCAAATATCTTACACATGACTAGCCCAGGATTTTTGCTGTTGCTGTTGTGCTTGTTGTTTTTGTTGTAATATTTCCATATGCTGTCTTTGTTGCATTTCAATTTGGCGCTGTTGCTATTAAAATATAAGGTTGTGTTAACAGATTGGGATTTGGTCACTTCTCAGTTATGATTATATGAGCTAGGAAAGTCTATTGAGAGTGAATTTAAAAGATATATTGATTAATTTTTTGGGATAAATTGCAAGTTACAAAAAAAAGTATTATCAAAAGATTAAAGAGCTTGAAATACACTAAGGTAAATACTTCTTCTTCTAGCCATTTCTGATGTTCTTGTTGTTGTATTTCAGTTAAAGATAGAGAATTTGTTATGTTGCTTCCACCATTTTGTTGTTTAGCCCATTGAGCTGTTGCTGGGAGCTATTAGGTATAAAAAATATTTATGTCAGTGTGGTCCAAACAGGTCTATGCCAGACAAAGTAAAATATGTTTAACTTCAGATATTTGGAGGAAAGGTAACCATGCAAACTACTGAAGTTCTAAATTTTGTTTTCTTTATTGATATATATAGTTTAATAAATTCTTATACTTGAAATCACATTTAAACATGATCTTCTATATAGGAATATGTCTGTACAAGTGGCATGTAAACCTTTTTAAAAATCAAACTTGAAAAAACCATCATACCTTGATATTAGACAGTTGTTCACGTTGTTGCTGTTGAAGTTTTCGTAAAGCCTCTTGTTGTTGTCTTTGTAATTCAGCTTGTCTCTCTACTTCCTCCTGTTAACAATGATTTTCAATGATTAATCCATATCAGACAAGAAAATTAATTAATTTAACAAAAAATATCCCACTAACGCAAAAGGCAGAATCTGAATGCTGAGATCCGTTTAATTTTAAATTATATCAAAATGGATGAAGTCAAATTTTTGTTCATGTTTGTGTCAGTGTTAATACCAAGATATAACCTATGACATTTCAACTCATTTTTATATTGTTATCTGGCGTTTTTTGTCTGTCAAATTATAACCAAGTTTGGAAAATATGCCTGGAATAAAAGTGTATACAAACCTGTTTTCTCTGTTGTTCCTCTAATTCAAGTCTCTGTAATTCTTGTTGTCTCATTAACTCTTGTTGCTGTAACATTTCCTGCTGTCTTTTCCTCTCTTCCTCCATTTTTCGCTTGGCTTCTTCTTTTAATCGTTTTTCTTCTCTTTTTCTTTCTTCTTCTTTCCTCTTCTCTTCTTTCTTCCTTTCCTCTTCTAATCTTCGCTCTTCAGCACGTTGTTGCTCTTCAACCCTTCTAAGTTCCTCTTCTATTCTTGCTTCTTCTTCCCTACGTCTATGTTCTTCTAGATGTAGTTGTCGTTGACGTTCCTGTTCTTGACGCATCATTTCTTCAGCTTGCTTTTGTTCCTCTTCTTGCTGCTGACGTGTTGCTGCTTCAATTTTCTTTAAGAAAGCAAGAATTTGTCAATAAAATTTTGTGAAAAATCCAGACCCTCGGATCATTCAATATATCTAAGATCACAATAGCAGCCAAAATATAAAAAAAGATCTGCTAATTTAGATAAATTACAGGTTTCAAATGAGACAATTTCTATCAGAAAAACAAGATAAAGGCAAGTACCTGTATTTCTAACTGTCTCTGTCGTTCTATTTCTTGTTTTTCTCTCATTAACATTTCTTGTTGTTGTTTTATATCCTCTTGTTTGCGCTGCAGTTCTAATTGTTTTATTTCTTCTTCTCTCTTTCTTTCTTCTTCTAATCTCTTTACTCTCTCCATTTCCTACAGAATATCAGTAAATGTAATACAACCAGGAGAAAAAGCAAGATAAAGGCTTGATACAGAATAAATTGGTGATAAAAAGAATCATAAAATAAAAGATAATCACAAACAAGTGACAACAAAATGTAAAAGTGCACTGTTGTCTTCTGCATCCATTTATTCATAAAAATTACAGAGCACAAACCTGTTGCATTCTTTGTATTTGTGCATGTAAATCAGCAGGATCTGATTGTTTTCCAGCCTCTAGATCCCAAACACTTGTTGGTTGTGAAAAGCCACCTAAAATAAAGAATTTAATTGTAACATGTCAATCAAGATAAGATTTATCATTGCTGACAAGAAAAAACTCTATTGTATAAAAAAAACCCTCATAACTCATAATGTAATGTTCAAACAAACAGCAACAAGACATTTATCAGATTTAAATGAATGGTAAAACTACACCCACTCTTCAAACAACAGTATTGATAATCACAGAAATATTGTGACTTACCTGCAGCTAGTGGGTTGGGAGCAGCAGATGTAGTATTCACCCCACCCCAAATAGTTTCCTCACCACCATGATTATCTGATTTACTGGAGGGTTGGGACATTGAACGGTGAAATGAAGGATGATTTGATATGCCACCTTGTTCTGTGTGCCTGGAAGAAATATCACACCATCTATTTTACTACTGAATTATTAGTAAGAGGAACTTAACTAAACTTTCATTGGTTTTGCCAACGCCATGTGAAGTTTGCTATGCTTTTACAGATTGTGATACAGATGAATAAACATGTATCCTACTATAAGTAGAAAGTGTTGAGAAACTCCTATTATGTAATTTGAGAATAAAGTAACATTATACACATTACTTACAAGGGAGATAATCTGTGTTGTTGCTGGGCAGCCACAGCTGCTTGTTGTAATTGCTGTTGTTGCTGGGGTAACATTATTGGAGGTTGTGACATCATCATCTGCATCATTAGTTGCTGCTGTTGAGCAAGGGGTAAACTTTTAAAACCCTCCTGTTCTTGCATTTGTTGTAAAACCATTTGTTGCTGTTGTTGCTGTTGCAATTGTCTACAAGTATACAAATCAACATTATGGTTTGTAAATATTCTAGGGGCTTTACTGCATATTATAACAAAAATACAATCATACAGCTGCTGGAATTTCAAAGACTTTTAAGAATCAAAAAGACCCCAGCTTATATTTAAGTTCATTCAATGCTTCCTACTTTTCAAGGACTGACAAAGCCTAATCACAATAATAAGGGTTTTTAGGGAACTTTAGAGATCCTTGGAAGGAAACTAAAACTGAAATCTATTACCCATATTGAAACAGAGAATGCAAAGCATGTTCTTAAATACAACATACCTCATTAGTAACTGTTGTTGTAACATCTGTTGTTGTAACATAAACTGTTGTTGTAATACATTAATTTGTTCATTAGGAGGGGTAACACTAGTCTGTATTGGTGGTTGTGATATCGGTGGTAAAACAGCAGGTTGATCTGTCGGTAATGTTGTCACAGGGCTATTCTATAAGGAACAATACAATAAAATGAGTAATTCGATGGAAATATCTTTTTCCAAGCTAAAATAATTTCATAATTTAACCTAACATTCCTTTAACTTGCTTAATTCAAATTCATTTCACCAGACATTCTGTACCACTATTAATGATTGTTGCAACTTGTCTTTATGGAATACAATCAGATTAGGAATTTTTGGTTAATTAGTAACAAATATATACCAAATATACAATACTAGCTATGTGAACTGCAAAATGGACTAACCCATTTGCAGAGGCTCCGGATTCTTTGGTTATATTCTAAAGAACAAAATAAAAATACAAACCAGTAATGGTGGAGGAGCTAATCCAGCCAGAAATGGTACTCTACCCCATCTTTTAATCAAATCACCTACAATAAAAAATTAAAACACTTATTTATAAAACAGAATACTCATTAGATGTTGTTACAGAAAAATTTGAAAATATTATGAAGCCAGAGATATCCAACATTAACAGTTAACAGTTAAATATGACAGTGTTGAAGTACTCAAAGTAACCATGTATGTTACTGACATAAGAAAATGAGAAAGAAATGAAATGATTCATCGCAATGATTAGTCGCATAAAAATCTGTTCAACATACCTAATTGTTGAAATCGTTCATCACAGAGACGTTTGACTAGTAAACTCATAGTAAAATATCCAGCACTAAACCATTCAGCCATTTCATCAGAGGTGAATGGACCTAAAATTGAGATATTTGTGATACAGTTTGAGATTAATGTACAATTGATTTTCTACATTATGATAGAACAATCAAATAATATATAGAGAGATAGATCAAGTCATCTGAATATTTGCTCTATGCTCTTGCGGGTAACCATATTGACGTCTAAGTAATATTTTTGATATCATGACATTCTCTGTAACAACTAAAACTGGCTATACTTCCACTGGCAAGTTGTTCTTTTTGATTCATTTTAAATAACATTACCTTGTATATCTCCCTGTGGATCTTTATATAACCATTTAAATGTTTCCTGTGACGATGGTTGTTGAGGGATTTGTTGTGAGGACGACTCCTTCATTGATGGAACAAAATCATCCTAAATTATAGATCATGTTCAAATACTTCCACAAAATTTGTTAATTCAAGTGTGCTAATAAATCTGTACACAAAGTGAGACCCTAGTTTCTGAACTTTTACACATAATAATTATTGGTTTTCTATTGCAGTATCAAAAGCAGGAAACTTCTGCACCAAAAAGAAAGTTATCCATAAGAAATTTAACCTATGGATGGAATATCAGTTACAATTGTATATAGCCTTTGTCAGAGCTGACAAGCAAATGTTTATCCTTACCTCATCTGTAACTAAAGCTACTAAATTTTCAGCTTCCAACTTCATAAAGTCTAGAGCTTCCCCTTCTTTTAATTTAAGATCTGGAGCCGAGCGACTTGGTGAAAGTTTTTGTGGAGCTGTGAGATTATTATGCTGAGTTTTATTATTAATAGATGGTCTCTGTGTGAGAGAGGGTGAAGCTCTGGAGGATTTCTCATTTTGATTTCCTCCTCGCCTGTCAATCAACTGTAAGGGCGACGCCCTTATGTTATTAGGATTAATATCAGTCTTATTGTTAGATGATTTCGGATCACCATTTGGTCCGTTATTTGAGTTTATATTAGCACTTTTGGCAGATTTTTGGTTTGGTTCTTCCTTTGTTTTATTATTGTTATTATTCTCCTTAACTTTTTCCTGAAAAAAATATGTGAGAAAGTTCTATACAGCATATATATATATAACTTATGGTTTAATAATTCAAATATGGTAACATTAATAAAAGAATGGATGTTGATAATGAGTGACTAATAAATGATTGTAGGAACATATTCCAAACAAATATTTTTACCTTTGAGACAGCTGGTACCTGATTTTCTTTGTCAGGCTTTTCTTCTAATTCATCTTCTAGACCTCCTGGTTCCTGGAATAAAAGCACAATTTATAAATGACAACCACCCAGAAAACAATTATTTTGTACCTTTATCTTTCCGCTCAAGTGACATTAGTTAATATTACAACAAGAGGATGGAATTGTATTACTTAACTAGTGGTTTCTAGCTCAGAGATCATCTTTCTCATTAACTAGTGGTTTCTATCACATCAGAGATCATCTTTCTCAAGAAGGATTGGAATAATTTCTTACCTTAAAAGTGGAGACAAAAGCTCCTGAAGCATCAAAGGATCCAACGGTTTCTGGATCATCGACTTCTGTACTCCATTCAGGAAGATTATCTAAAATAAATACCAAGATATTCAAAATAATTATCATAATAAGACAGCAGGCTAAAATCACTCACTGTAAACTAAAATGGCTTAGTGGTCAATTGATATTTCCTAATTACTTATGTAATTTTCTGGTCAAGTGTCAATGAAAACACATTGTCTTTCCAAATCATGCTACAGTAAGGATAGGTTGAAGATAACCATATTCAAAAATATTCTTACATACTTACATAATACCGGGTGAATACCATTGGACATACCTTCAGTATCCCAAGATTCACTGCTTCTGCTTCTCTGGTATTGACGACCAGGAGGTCCATCTCGTGAAAATCCATTAGATTGTTTACGATCATTATCTTGATTGTCATGGTGGTTAGGATCACGCCAGTTACCACGTGAATCTGAAATTGAATTAATCTGTTTTTTTGAAGGTAGCGTCATTTACAGAGACTGATTTTTCTTCTATAAAGACCAAATTTCATAGGCATGAAAGATGGAAAAAAAAAAAATATTTACAAGGATAAGAACACAGGTTCATAAAGGATCCTTTCGACCTATTGGTCCTTAGCCAAGCCTCTCACAGCACTAATCCTCCCAGATTATCCGTACCCATTTACAGCTGGGTCGGCAGGAATTATGACTGAGGATGTCTTCAAGGTCATCATACCTTTATTCCATTTGTCTCTAGTGCCAGCCCTTCTCCAGCTTCCATCATCTTCCTCATTATTATTCTTCTCCCTCCAATTATCATTACTTAATGAACGATTATAATGTTGTCTGATTCCACCACGGTCTGTAGTCTCATCATAATTACGTGAGATATAACCTCCCCTTTCATACTTCTTACCACTGCAATAAACAATAGTTCATTTGGACAACTTTCAAATTGAATTCAAAACATGGTTACTAATAAAGATACCAAATATTTTCAAATTTGTACAGTTTAAAATTGGTTTAATCTAAAAACTTGTTTGTCGATTTCGAAACAATAAAGAGAGTTGGCAATATATTTAATTTGCACAAGTGGAATGTTTAAAACTTCCTCCGAATTTGATGTTCCAACCAGATTTAATCAGTAAGACTTACACTTCTTCCCAGCCATCATTATTCACATTTCTTCCTGGGACCCCGAACCCCCCACTGTGGGTATTATGTTCACCATTCTCAGAGATAGTTCTATGTATGTATTCACCACGTCCTCTACCTACAACATCAAAATAGGTAATAATAAATTCAAGTGTGTGAAGTGATATTGTAATTAAGAAAACTCTGTTGTGTCATCACTATTAAGTATTAAATTATTCAGGTGAATACAGAAATATTTCTGGATTTGTCATCCAAGTTAATCCTATGAACCAATCACCTACCTCTGCCCCTGCCCCGATCAGCTGTGCTACCACCCCTCCCTCTAGTGGGAGGGCCAGACCCCCGCCCCATACTTCGTAGAACTGTTACACTGTTAACTGATTGTGACATTAACCGCTAAAATGGCAAAACATTAAATAAAAATATATATAAAAGTCAAATCAAATGTCAAGGGAAGAATAGCTACAAATTGTTTGCTTTTGCTCGTCTTAAGTATTTGAGTAAATGACTTATGTTGGTTCTAAGATATAGGCACTAAATAGACAGTTTGTCAATTGTCTGTCAAGGCAGCAGTCAAAGGCAATTCACGTACACATTACCATGTTGGCATTTAAAAAGGTAACAAAGTTCATCTTCAACATGATAAGGATAGTTCAACCATTACTATTTTAACATCTATTAGCAAAACGCTCCAAATTCTTACCTGTTCTTCCTCAGATAGATTCATAAAAGCAAGTGGTTTCTGTATAGCTTCACAATAAATAGAGGGTATTTCTTTCAATTCATCAGGAGCTTTATACTGATCGTGAAACAATGCCAACATCTCCTCTCTCCCATAACGATTATTGGCTAGTTTAAATTTCCCTCCTAACCCTGGTGTGGGTGGAGGGGATGCAACAGTGTTGCCATCAGACAAAGCACGGAGCCTGAAAGAAATTGGTTGAAATATATCAAGTATAAATTAAACAAACTTTGAGACATATATGAATTACATATAAAGTTCTAGTTAAAGGTCAAAAGTATTTCATACAAACATTATAATAAGTATTGGTATCTATGAATGTTATCATAAGAGATTATTGCAAAATTTTACATTGATTAAAAATGTGCAACGACATTCAGTTTGCAGACCTCAATAATCATTGACAAGTAGTATGTAGTGTATGATGTAGATTTATCAAATTGAGATTATAAGATAGAAATTTACCATTCTGGACCGAAGTTTAAAGTGTCTGCCATTTCTTTTAATTTGCCTAGGATTTACTGAAAGAGAAAGAAGAAGAGAAGTTTTAAGGACTGTATGTTGTGTCAGGAAATTATATAAAAAATAAAAGATATAAAATGATTAGAATAGGAATAAAAATAAATGTGGTTTATGCCCCCGATACAAGTATTGTTTTTCGCAAAAATATTCTTTGAATAATTTTCACAAAGTAAGTTTTTTGAAAAGTTTTCATTTCCAATTCATGCTTGACAGAAAGCAATCAATGAAAAAAACTTACTGATAATAGAAAATCACCACTTAACACTAGATCTTATTCTAATTTCAACTTTCAATACATTCACTTTTTGTAACATCAGGTTATGCTTTTAATTATTGATTATCTACCATCATACAAATTTCCCTTCAAGCTACATAAGCTTAATGATGTTAATGCAATATCAGTACCTGTACTTCAATTCATATAAATTATTTTGATAGTATCGTAATGATAGTCAGCAAGCTTAATAGTAGAATTGCAAGAAATTTTTTTCTTTGCAAATACAATTGATACGGTACTGATTATAAGCTTAGTAAAGCCTACTTTATTAAAGGCCGTACAAAAACGATCTTTAGAAAGGCTTAGCAATAAGAAGCTCTAGTCCTTGTCTAGGCCATCATAATCACACTGGTAATGGTACTCCCTACTGCCAACTGGTATGATTATGATTTCAGATTAGGCCTGATGGATCCAAATTAGGCCCATCAGTAGAACTGTAGATTTCTATAAATTTTATCAGCTATATTTCTTCTCTTATATGAAATAAAATATTATCAGCAACTGAATTTTGTCATCTTTATATTTATTACTACCATATGGTTCAGACCATCATACCACCATTTAAAATGCAAGAAACAGTTCAAAGGTTTTTGTTTGAAACGCACACAGGGCCAAGTACCGTTCTAAAAATAGATCACTTTTCTTTTGACTTTTCTGAATTCTGGCCAAATTAGAACACATGGGACTAACTTGAGGCCTTACATAAAGACACCATAGCAAATTTTTTTGATAAAAAGATTCTCGGGAGATCCAAATTTAAGATAATTTGGTTCAAAAATTGAGTAGAAAGGTAAACGAGACAGATTACCTCAGAAATATAACCAGCTTATACACGCAGCATTCAACCAATATGGCCGATATACAGTTTGAAGTCACGTGACCACAGAACCCGTATTTACATGTCACTGACCGACTTATACTACTTGCAACAATTGGTATGTCGGCTCAGATTTCAAAGAAATTTTTATAATTCAACCACTTCACCACGAATTTCATTTATGACAGTTGTAAGATGACAAGGTAAAGAATATGCTGTTGAAAATTGAACGATATATACGACCACCTGCTTTGTTAGAATCAAAATATAAAATATTTTATTTAGTGTCAAATTTCACAACAAAAAATGGTGGTACTAACAGTACATCCTGTGTAAACCGACCAACCCTATTTGTCTGAGTTTAGTATGCCCTATTATTACATTGTCCTTGACAATTACTGCCAAGCTAAAATATAGATACTTTCTGCCTCTTTTGATTTTGAAGTTTCATTTAAATCAGTACAAAGCCAGAAATCCAATGTTTGACTACATTGTTTACTGAATTGAATTTTGGCAATCATTTCCAAATGAATTGAAATATCAACTGCAAAATACTACTAAGAGCCTAAGATTGTCTTTGGGTTGATGAAAATATTAACCACTGGAAAAGTTATTATTTGTACAGAGGAATTTACAGTGGCGAATTTTCAGTCCGAAAAGTAGATCATTTTCATTTGAATTTTCTGGGAGGTAAGTGTGTCTATTTCAAATGTAAAATCAATGAACCTTATATTTATATGAACATGAAAACATTCTAATACAAATGGCATACCATTGAAAATTATATTTTGTATATTTATGAAATGAATGAAGAAATTCAATTCAAAGGTCAATGTAGTCAGAGAGTAAAAATGTCCTAAAAATTTAAAACACATCAAATTATTTATGGAAAATGTGTATTTTAAGGATATTTCTCAGTCCTTGCAGGTACTTGTTGCGAAGCTAAACAATTGCTAAGCCACTGGGAGTATTCCATCTTCAATTCAACTGGGACCTAGAAGCAGATAGTTCGAAGATTTAAGGGTTTATCAGTAAAAAAACTTAAATTTTAGAAATTAATGATCTCTTATGTGCCTTTTAAAACATTGCTTAAATAAATATTTTTAGGAAAGGAAATGAGGAAATAGTAAAATGGCTCGATTAAAAGTTACGAGTAGAGAAGGTGCTTTGAAAAAAATCCATGGAGTTCGAAATCCAAACATTGATATATGGTCAGATATAAAAACTTTCTTTCCGGTTTTGGACATCCAGTATTCCAGTTTTTTTGCTGGTATTTTCTCTGTGATCATAACAGTTTTGATTTTCTCCAATATCAAAAAAGATGAACAAACAGTCCAAAAAACGTCATGGCAGTCGGCCAATCTATCACAGAGACCCTTTACTTATGACTTTATTGAAGCCCAGAAACAACGAAAAGCCAACATGGAGATGTATGATTATCAGTATAATGAATTTGGTATCGATAAACGCTCTGACATGTCTTTAGAGGAATTCTGGGATGTCTATGATGGAAAATGGTAAATATCTAAGTATATACAATTTCTTAATCTTACTTTTTTCAAATATCTACAAACATATCTAATTTTAATTCAATATATTTAAAGTAATAATGTTCGTAATTCTTTTTGACCAATCTTACTTTAGTCTCAGAAACAGGAATTTTTATGCTAAGTCAAGACTACAAGCACTCCAAGAATGGAGACCCTGTCTCTTGAAGGAAACGAACAACTCAAATTTATCGCTAGAAACATCATTGTATATTTGAAGAATTTTTGTACAGTTACAATTATTACTTTACAACATTAATATGGTTGTTTTTTTTTATGATGTGTATATTTTTCAAGGCCTGTAGTGATAACTGATGTAATATCTGACTGGCCAGCTAGACAATGGACTAGCGACTATTTCATCCAGAATTATGGAGAAGCAAGGGTTGTAATGAAAGCTGTACATGTAAGTTGTAGAGGTGTTCTATTAATCATGGAGACAATTTATGAGAAAAACTTGGTGAAGTCATGAACTGCGTAAGCTTATCAGTTTTCCATATGGTTTGTATGTCAGGCCATGTAGGGTATGTGAGTTGTGAGGTACTTTAGTACAGTCTGTTAGAGCTTGGTTCTTAATATGACATCATTTGCTTGGTTACGTTGAATAAATGACGTCTTTTGGTTTCGATCTCGATCAACGTTTGAAAGTCTGATGACCTTGAATAAATCATCTTCACTCATAATTACAGTCGATCCAGCTGTAAATGGGTACAGATAATCCAGGAAAGATCAATGCCAAGGGGTTTGGCCAGGGAACAGCTGGTATAAAGGATCATAATTTATTTCTATCTTCTTAGGGTTCATTAGATGATGCTAAAGGACTGGCTTTACCATTAAATTTATTTATAAAGCATTTAAACCACAGTACAACTCATACCTGGACATATTTAGAAGATGAGCTATTTATACCACGTAGACCTCATCTATCTCAACAAGTGCCTAGAAACGTAAGTAAACTAATAAATTCTTTGTGGCATTGTTTCAGATGACAATGAAATACATTTACATGTACAGTCAAGTAACCTAATTTCGTGCTAACTTATTTTTCGTGCATCTCCGGAAGGGTTAATAATTACATGTGCTACCTTGTGTGACCTTCGCATTTGCTTGTTTTGATAAACATGGGTTATCTGTACAATGTCAGCTAGCAGAATGAATCCAGTAGTTTCAAGCAAGGTAAAATGTATTTATGTATACTTTGACAAATACAAAATGGCGGATTTCAGTTATTACCAAACGTAACAATTTTTTTTCTGCCAAATTTCCTTATATTCCCAAGCTGTAATCGGAATTCCAAGTGTCATCTGCTAGAATGTAGTCCAATGAGCAAAGTCATGTGATAAACTAGTGGATTCCATCTCAGCAGAAAAATTCTATGGAACACTATGTGGTCCATATTCTTATGTGACTTTTAGCAATAAATCTCTCTTACGTTTTACATATCTTATATCTTGTCGAGTTGGTTGCTCACGAAATATGGGTCAAGGTGAAGGATTCATAAAGAAAATGGAAACAAACCAATTTTAATTATTTTGTAGAATATCTGAAGATAAAAAATTTGTGTTTTTTAATTTTGACTAAATTTGGTGTTGAATGCTCAAATATAGGTTACACCACTGTATATTGCTGTGGATGTTGGTTCTATTGTAAGAATACTTTAGTAAGGCATTGTTCATACATTAAAATAACAACCAATCTTCAGAACTCTGTGAACTAAGTGTAAAATATATAACAAGTAATATTGTTTAACTTCACTTGATAATGGCTGCTTCACTAGTCTCCCATGTGTATATCAAGTAATATATATTTATTGTATAGGTCTATGTATATGATATACAAAAGGGTTAAAAAGGGATACAGTTTTTAACTATTTATATTTTAATAAGTTTCAAGACTGGTCTCTGTCATAGATCTGTAAGATAAGGACATTACATTTCAGCTTTATACAGAAGAAGATTTTTTCAGAATGTTTCCAAAAGAAATACGTCCTTGGGATTGTATGTTTTTGTGGGGTACAGCTCATTCTCGCTCCTTTTTACATATTGATCCCTATAATTGGACTGGAACTAATGCTGTTTTAAAGGGCCATAAAAAATGGAAGGTAAGTATGTAGTGGAATAGCCGGAAACATGGAGCAATATTACTGTGAATGTGCATCTCAAAGACGTCAATGACAAAAAATTACAAAACTTCTAATTTTTTTCAGTTTTGCTTAAGTTCCCATTCCTAATTTTAGCCTTATTTAAGCCCTACAATTCCAAAAATTTTATTTTTTGTCGATGAGTGCTGGACAGTCTGTAGTCAGTCTGGATTTCTTTAAAGACATGGTATAGTCCTCTAGATATTGGCTTTGAAAACTGACAATTTCAGAATAAAAATCATCTGAAATAAAAGTAATATGATATATTTCAGTTATTCCCTCCAGGACAAGACCATCTTTTATCAATAAGATATCATAGAACTTGTGGTTTTCCTTTAGACTGTTTTAAATACAATAGGTAGGTTAGACTTTGTTAATAATAGTTCTATTTATAATCTAATTATCACTTGTATATACCGGTACTCACAGAATACAATTGACAGACAACTTAATATTGTGTCTAACATGCAAGCAGCAGTGAACCACCATTGATTTCAGGTAAAGTAATATGTCTCTGATTTTGCGATTTTGTTAACATGATTAGAAATAGATTTGTCTACAACTCAGTGTAATGTAATGAACCATTCATTACAGAGGTAAAATAAGAGTATGTGAATGATATCAAACTTCACTAGATGAAAATTTAGTTCTAACATCTGTTGATTATGACCACATCTCTTAAAGACAATTATTTCATGATGTTAGTCTTTGGCTTCTGCTGCAGGTCTAGGATCTAATACGGATGCCCCCAAATTCAAGAACTTCGCTTGGTACTGGCAGTTTCCTATGATAAATTTACTTGTTTATATATTTCAGTGAAATAGATACATTTACTGATACAGAAAAATATTCCCAATATAAACAAGCAACATATATAGAGTTAGACCAGTATCCTGGAGATTTCCTGATTATACCACCTGGCTGGTTTCATCAGGTATGACTGTATGATATATCTCTTAGACTTATGGTCTTAAAACATTTGGAAGACACTGGACCATGACCACCTACATCTACTTTCTATAACAGTTTCAATTCATGAATAACTATAGATTGATATGTTTCATCATAATTGGTTGGTTATTGAGGAAGATGCTAATTTTTTAATATTGAAAGATAAAGATAATGACTCTAGTTTATATTTGCATATGTGAAGGAGTCCAAAATGTTTAGGGGGGACCCAAAAATACCAGCAGCAGTCTTTTGTATGCATTAAATCTGCATTTTCCATCTAAGGATTAAGGAAAGTCTTTTTTTAATTTCAGGCATATAATGTGGAAGAAACCATGGCTATTTCAGGACAGTACATGAATCGCAATAATTATTTAATTATATTGGAGGAAATAATTAAAATTGGTAATATTAAACGTGAAAAATTACCATCTTATTTTCATTCATTACTCCCTCCAGATCAGGTAGGCACATTTTCAAAAGTCCAGGAAATACTTTTGTTTTGAATTTTATTACAGAAGAAAAATGTTAAAATTACTTCTTGATCACATACCAAGTTGCATCAAAATCTTGTAAAATCAGTATGTATATATAGCAATAAATTAAGAAATTGACTTTTTCAAAATCACTATGAACCTGAACATTGAAAATACTACAAAGTCGACATATTTTGACATGACATCCTGGCATACTATTCTTTATATTTATCAAAAGAGCTGCTTATATATATTCACATTTTCAGGTTACATATCTAATGTCTCTCATACCTAAAAGAATTTTAGAGAAGGGTAAGAAAATCACTCAACAAACAATAGAACAGATAGAAAATATTGATTTCAAGAAAACTAAAGAAGAAGAAAGTCGGAAAGAAAAAAATAAAAAGAATTCAAAGACTTAACCAGAATAAAACTGCATTGCTGTAAAGCCATATGAGGTGTGTCAAAAAAGTTCCAGGACTGATGTCACAACAGATTTATTTCAAACTAGGAGTTTCCCCTTTGAAGAGATCCCCCTTGAGTCCAACACATCATTGTGAGCAGGAACAATGTCACGGTGTTGCAGCCTCGATTTAGTCTCTCACAAATCTTGCCTCAGCCTTTCTATGAGAAAACTTATAACTTTTCTCATACACCATATATTTCATAATATTCATTTCAATTTCATGTCTGTATCTCTGTTATAATCTGCAGTTCCTTTGAATCTATAATTAGCCTTATGGGCATTGTGCTTTGCGGGGTTGATGTGAGTCTTAAATATAAGAAATACTAGAAATGTATGAAATTGCATAATTCCTTCAAAATATCTCAAACTATTTATAACCTTCAAACGTGGATAATTCTGGACATACATGGATATGAAGACTCAAATTCAACAGTCAGCTCTCTGTGAACACTATTACTGATTGACTAAGCTAAAGAATAATGTATGGTCCATCTGTCCCTTTAATGTGTTTTTAGATCACAGTGTTCCAGCTTCAAGCATCTTTTAGAAATGGGGCCCCAAAAACTTGCACAGTTTATTTTATTTCCCCACCTGTTAAAAGTAATGTTATGTTATATTGTACCCAAAAATGTTATTTTCTACAACTTAGATTTTGCTTAAAGCACTTTAATGTATGACAAGAATTTTTAAATGTTATTTATTCATTATGATTTAATCTTTTGCAATTTTATTTTATTAAGAAAGATGATCTGGGATTGTGGTATTAACTTTATTGCTTTAGCTCAAAACTCCTACATTCGCATACCATAAAATGCTAGTCTGGACTCAAATATCTACTGGTAGACCTATTATTAGAAATAAGCTTCCAGTTGGACTTTTTTCTTGAACCCAGGCCCATATTTATCTCAGATCATTTAGTACAGTTGATTATGCAGTTTGTTAATTAGAAGTTATCACATTCCATTAGTATTTTTTAAATAAATTTTTTTAGTTTGTTTTTAATTATATTAGTATTTTATATTCAGTATGAACACAGCATAATATTGCCCAATTCTTATTTTTTATAATTATTATAGTGGTCCAAACCATGTTCTTTGAAGATTCATTCTTCATGCTTTTGTTACAATAGGATATTGATCACTTTTTGTTATGGTTTTATTTTATATTTTATGAGCTAGGAACCAAATAGGTTTCACAACTTTAATTTCTCACAACGTTTAGTATTTTCTATTTATTTTCTATTTTATTTATTATCTAAGGAATTTGTTACAATTTTGTTAAAGTTTTTTTTTAATACATTTATACTGTGATTGTGTTTCTATTACAAAATCCACTTAAAGGTATGAAGCAACTAGACAACCATTAGATAAATAATTTTACTCTATATCTCAATAGATTTGAGAAGAGTAAGACAGCCACTGATATCTTGCCTTGTCATGTATAAGTCCAGATGGTTTTGGGGAACATCCCAAAAAGGACAGTTTTTATTAGATAAAAATCAATTTCCAAAATAATTTTATTGACATTCAATATGACCATGCAGACTGGTTGGTAAAATGTACAAAAACAATTTGATACACAATAAAAAATACTATTACAAACACAATTAATTTCATGATATCAATAACAGTCCAAAATATTGATAGTCATTCCAGTTCTTCAGGTCGCACAGGATGTTTTAAGGGGATAATCGATTTCTTGTCAACATCTCTTGGTAAAGCTTTGCGCATATCAAAAGCATCTTCATCCACATCACCAGAATAATATTCTAAAACACGCCGATAAACACTATATTCTAATTTCTTATACATCTCAACGGCAACCTGGTTTGAAACTCTCACAAATAAATCCACAAAATAACATTGTTTTTTCTCAGAAATGTTTTCAAGATTCTGCATCAGTTTTGCAGCAAGACCAAGTCTTCTAAATTCAGGTGCCACTGTCAGAGCAGTCACATGACCATGCCACATCTCGCCAGATCCTTCAGCTTTACCCATTATGTATCCCATGATCTGTCCGTCTGGAGATTCAGCAATCTGAAAGTATTCAGGCCAGTGTGCCAGGTACTGCATGTAAAATGGCAGACCATAAGTCTCTGTCAACGGATCCAAATTGACATTGTTGAACCTAAACAAGTCATCGCATGTGAAGGGTCGAATTGTTGTCATTCTTGTTCTATCAGACAGTAAATAACTGCAAATAATCAAATAATCCAATTGTTCATTAATTTCTGTCAATGATACCAGGCTAAAACGGAAGTAGAAATTGCCTAGGAATTGTGTTTCCGGTTAAATGCAGTGTAAAATAATTATTTGGATTGGAAAATTATAAGACTTTGCAAAAATGAATTTTAAAGTTATAGGTCTGTATTATTATAGTTCTAAATTTCCTTATCAAAGCCGATATATAATTGATATGATTAAGTTTATATTATCATACCATACACAAAGAAACACAAAAGGATACATCCGATTCCATTTTAGGACTCTAATAAAGGTCAAATTCCACAGACGCCATTATGACTTAAAATTTCTGTCACAACAAAATCAATCGAGCTAAAAATCGTTCAAATTTCAGTAAATAATTTGAATCAATCACATCAAAGTTATGGAGACGCCCGAAAAAGAACTGGAATTAAGTTATCAGGTAAAGATAAGGCTCAAGTATCAAAACATCTGGAAAATCTCATTAGAAAAATCCATGTCACTATTCCACAGAGTCTTCTGTTGTTCGTTCAAATTTGATATGGGCCGGTTCATTTACTTCAACTTATACATTCAATGATTACAATAATAAACTGTATTTGGCTATAACTTGTTTGATGTTTAGGGTAGTTTATTTGTCATTATTTATGATCAGTTTTGTTTTTGCAGGAGAGTGAATCAGAAATAGTATTAACAAGGCATGGTTCTGGCAGTAAACCTTATGGAATTTTAAAACGAGGGGATGATGTTGGAATTTGTAAATGTGACAAATCAGAATGTTGTACAGGCTTATATCATTGTCCATTTTGTAATCTAAATGTCTATAAACCTACAAGAGCTTCAAAAACCATTGACCATATCAATCTGTCACATTTTCCTCATGCTGTTTATTATCAAGGTTTGTTACTGTTGAATTTTGGAATTTGACATGTGATGTCTTATAATGCTATCTCAACAAGGCGTCTCACCAGTTATTGATAAATGTTAAATGGATTGCAAAGAGTTTTTCTAAATTTGTATGTGTATAGGGAACACTGATAGCATCAGTTTGATGTCATCAAACTCTTAGTTTTAGTGGAATTGCAGAAACCAAAGATGTCTGATTGCAAATTGGAATGGGCAAATTGATGTAATTTAGTTTCTCCAATACACATAAATTTTTTTAGAAAACTTCTTAACAATCCCTTTAGAATATTCAAGACAACCTTTAATATGAGCATTATAGGGGTAGCATTAGTTATCATCTTGCGATAATCTCGTCTTTTTAACTTTACATTCTGAACACATGGATTTAAAGGCTCAAATTTCGATGGTGAGCTGTGAACACAATTACTGATTGGCTTAGCTAAACAATCATGATTGGTCAAAAAATGGTTCTCTTTTTAATAAGTTTGTTATTCTATTTTTTCAGATTTGATAATTGTAAAATGTTTTCAAGACTGTAGAAAATCAGGCCATTATCACTGTCCAGTTTGTCAGAAAGAGATTTTAAAACGAAACAATTTTAAAGAACATTTGATAAATCACAGCCTAAGCAAGGTAAATGTTGAGATGTAGGCCTATACGTGATCTATTATTTGTAACAAAATAGCTTATAAAAAGCTTGTAAAGATTATAAGGGAAAAAAAAATTGAATTACTGAACGTGAATGAGCAACATTCTGAGGAAATTGATGTTATAAGCTTCCTTTTGTGGTTTGTGTATAAAACTATTAAATAATAAGAGCCAACATTACTTTTGTTTTTTTTCCTACCACTTTTATGTGAGGGTAAATCACCCTTACAACTTTTACATTTTCTCCTAAAAAGAAATATTCTGTTACTAACAAATCTATTATATTATCAGGAAGAAAACAAAAGTATTTTAACACCAAATGGTAAACAACCAGAAGTTATTCACTTTCCAGGTACATGTATGTCGGCTTAGTATTTTTAAGCAATTCATTTCAGCATCAAACTTTTTACGACCTATGTTTGATATATAACCTCAGCCCGAGAAATTTACCAATAATTGTTAGGTAGACACCACAAAAGTTTCTAGAAAGCAAAATAACTTTCAAACCAAACCTTTATGAATTGAAGCCCATATAGAAACCAGTATTGAATTTCGAGCAGCATGTTTTACCCTTAACATTTATTTGTATCAAATTTAGAGTTAAATACAGTGGAGTTGTGCAGTTTACCATGTCAAGATGCCCTAGCTAAACATTACCACTGTCCAAAATGTAAAATAGTTACATTTCAAGATGTCAGCTCAACTCTAACTCATGTCTGGAGATGTACTGGGGAAATCAAACATTTGAAACATCAAGATATGGCATGTACCATTCCAACTAGTGTGCCACATCCTAAGCTCAATCCAGCTATCAAGGTTTATATTTATAATATTTTTTCACTATCATTCAAAACAAATATGAGGCTTTGTGTGTCATTCAAAACTCTTAAGTATATAATAAATAAATGGAACCTGGTCAATTAGCTGGAAGCAAACATTAACTGTCCATTTAATAACCAACCATCCATCTATTTAATATTTGTTTCAGTATGATATTAGTATAGTGAGATCTATAGAAGATTTACCAACAGAAAGATGTACAATAAGTGACTGTTGTGATAAGAAATTTCACTGTCCACTCTGTACAACAGAGAAATTTAAACCCAACTATAAAACACATCTTATTGATCATTATAAAGTTCACTGGAAAAATAGACTTGATATTGATGGTAAAACATGTATTTTTTTTCCACAAAAACCTGAAAATAACCCTTCTGTCTGTGAAGACTGAGGATTTGATTGGATTGGATGTTTATTTAATAAGACTGATGGATCATTTTTTTTGCAAAGTACATTTTGTCTTGCACAGTGTGTGGTGGTTGATGGCACAACATAGTCAAATTGAGAGGGCCTGTAGCACAATGGTAGAGAGCTTTGGAAACTTTACACTTTCTCATTATATTTTAACTGATTGTGGTTGTGGATTCTAATCTCAGATGGAATATTGGTGACCTTAAATAAGTCCTCTTACCCCTTAGTTGCATTCAACCCAGCTGTAAGTGGGTATGGATAATCCTGGAAAGATTAATTACCAACAGGTTTTTTTCTTTTTGTCATAGATCAGTTCCATTTTTATACGCCCACATGAATATGTGGTCGTATATTGTCGTCGCCCCTGTCCGTCGATCCAGCCGTCCGTCTGTCAGCATTTCTTGTGAGCACTATAGAGACTACAGTTTTTATCTGATTTGGATAAAACTTGGTGTGATGCTTTAGATTGATAAGATCTCGGTCAAGTTTGAATTTGACATATTTTCGATAAACGGTTTTTGAGATATTGCCCTTGACTTAGAACGCCTTGAAATTTGTTAAAAATTGTTCGTGAGCAGGATTGAAGCTACAGTTTTCATCCGATTCTGATGAAACTTGGTGTGATCGTTGGAATTGATAAGATCTCGGACAAGTTCTAACTTGACCCATTTTCGATGAACGGTTTTTGAGTTATTGCCCTTGACTTTGTTAAAACGCGTCGAAATTTGTTAAAAATAGTTCGTGAGCAGGATTGAAGCTACAGTTTTCAACCGATTCTGATGAAACTTGGTCTGATCATTGGAATTGATAAGATCTCGGACAGGTTTTAACTTGATGCATTTTCGATGAACGGTTTTTGAGTTATTGCCCTTGACTTTGAAAAAACGCGTCGAAATTTGTTAAAAATAGTTCGTGAGCAGGATTGAAGCTACAGTTTTCAACTGATTCTGATGAAACTTGGTGGTTATCATTGGAATTGATAAGATTTCGGACAAGTTCTAACTTGACACATTTTCGATGAACAGTTTTTGAGTTATTGCCCATGACTTTGTTAAAACGTGTTGAAATTTGTTAAAAATAGTTCGTGAGCAGGATTGAAGCTACAGTTTTCAACCGATTCTGATGAAACTTGGTGTGATCATTGGAATTGATAAGATCTCGGACAAGTTCTAACTTGACGCATTTCTGATGAACGGTTTTTGAGTTATTGTCCTTGACTTTGTTAAAACGTGTTGAAATTTGTTAAAAATAGTATGATGAAACTTGGTCTGATCATTGGAATTGATAAAATCTCCGACAAGTTCTAATTTGACTCATTTTCACTGAACGGTTTTTGAGTTATTGCCCTTGACTTTGTAAAAACGCGTCAAAATTTGTTAAAAATAGTTAGTGAGCAGGATTGAAGCTACAGTTTTCAACCGATTCTGATGAAACTTGGTGTGATCATTGGATTGATAAGATCTCGGACAAGTTCTAACTTGATGCATTTTCGATGAATGGTTTTTGAGTTATTGCCCTTGAGTTTGTTAAAATGCGTCGAAATTTGTTAAAAATAGTTTGTGAGCAGGATTGACGCTACAGTTTTCAACCGATTCTGATGAAACTTGGTGTGATCATTGAAATTGATAAGATCTCGGACAAGTTCTAATTTGATGCATTTTCGATTAAATGTTTTTGAGTTATTGCCCTTGACTTTGTAAACATGCGTCAAAAGTTGTTTTTTGCCCTTGATTAGAGCTGTGTGATTTAATAGCTATCTTTTAATATTGTGTTAAGTATAATATTGTTTGTCTTCAGGTTATGCATCACTGGTGTGTTATCGAAACTGTCTACAATCAATAGGTCAAAAAACACATTTCCACTACCACTGTCCATACTGTGGTGTAACCAGACAACGGAAAATGGGAATGGAGGTACATGTTGATTCTTGTAAGAAACAAAACACATTAAACAATGAACAACAAATTGATATAGAAGATACTGAGATGGAATATGTTCTATCGGAAATTGATAGAGATGAAAAAGAAAACACTGATGATAAAGATGATCAAATTGATATATTAGAACCAGACATGATTGAAAATCTACAATTCATTGAACCATCTGAAGACATTCCTAGTGTTGTGAACCAGAATCCTGATAAAAAAAACATAACGAATAATTTGAAGGCAAGTTTCAAGAAAGATAATTTCTCTCTATCCATTTTGTGTGATATTTTAAAATCATGTTCTAGATTTTTAAACATCATGTTGTTCTGAATTTTCTATAGAGAGGAATAGGTCTATAAACATCATTTTACAAAATGAAAACATTCTTTTCAGATATTTCAAACAGTGTGTGGCATAATACCATATAATATTCAGGATGTACTTGGTTTGAAGTGTGATGCAGAGAGTTATATCAGTGATTTATGCAAATCAAGTGAGGTTGATATTCAATGGTTTAAATTAAATGAGAGACAATATGCCACTGTTATTGGAGAAATGGATTCCTTGATCTCAATACACAATAAAATTAAACAGGTATTTCAATATTTATTGCTCAAGCATGCTTATTTCTGAGAGAAGCCCCTTATTGAAATAGTTGCCACGTCGATATTGAGAGAAATGTTCATTTAAATATGTGTTCTTAAATTCATATGTATTTCTAATTTCAGAAAATTGAAGATGAAAACTTGTCTGAGAATTTTGTCAACGAAACAGATGATGAAAACAAACCTGACAAGAACGAAGTAGTTCAAAATATGGCCAAGAAATTTATAAAAGTTTTTGGAAACAATCTGTTAAATACAAATTGTAAAATTCCATATTCCAACAAATCTAAGTGGAGTCAACAGAAAACAAATAATAAAGTCAAAAACATTTCTGTGAAGAATGAAATGAAATCTGTTTCTGATAAGGCCAATGACATTAGTTCATCCCCTTCACTGGACACCTCTCCCAGATCAAAACCATATAACACACGAGGTAAAAGAGTAAAGGTATATGATAAGGATGGTGAAATACTAGAGGAAAAGACCAATTCTGCCGCTGGAGACAATGAAAACTTTGGAACTGAATCACCAGCAAAGTTAAATTCAAGTAAAATGATCAAACAAGAAATGGAATTGCATGAGGATGAAGAACTTATGCAAACTTCTGTTTCCACTATGACAGAATTTAGTGACTCTGACGACAATAGTCAAATCAAGAAAGAAAACAGTCCAGCTAAAAAGCATTCTATATATGATCAATCACCACTTTATATTCCGAATATAATCATCAGGGATTCAGAGAAATTGAGAATATCAAATCCATATCAATGTACAATTTGTCAGAATCATGCCAACAATTTTGAAGAGTTGAAGAGCCATATTTTAGACAATCATAGTGACAATGTGAAATTTAAGCTCTGCTGTGACATTTGCAAATTGTTTTTCAAGGAAGATGAACATTTGGAAAGCCATTTATCTTCTGTTCATGGTCCACAAATGGACTTAAAATTTGTCTGTGAACATTGTCAAAAAGGATACAAAACTCAAAAACTTTTGAACTGGCATTTGAGTTATATACACAAAGTCACAAAAACAGATTTCCCTTGTAAGAAATGTGAATTTGTTGGAAAAACACTAGTAGAGCTACGAAAACACAATGTGACACACCGCGGAAAAAAAACTTGTGAATTTTGTGGAAAAGTGTTTGAATTTTACTGTCATTTGAAATCTCATCTGGAAACAGTTCATAAAAAATCTAACAATCATACTTGTGAATATTGTGGAAAGATTTTCTTTCATCCTCGATATCTAAAACAACATTTAAAACGTCATACTGGAGTAAAATCACATATCTGTCATATCTGTAACGCAGCTTTCTATGAGTCAAACACTCTCAAAGCTCATATAGAAACTCATAGTGAACCTAAAGACAGAAAATATCGCTTTGTTTGTTCATTTTGTGGAGGAAAATACAATAATAAAACAAACTTTGAAGAACATTTAAACAAACATACAGGTAATAAGCCTCACAAATGCACTTTTTGTGATAAAGCATTTGGTTTTAGAAGCTTGCTATCACAACATGTAAAATTTGCACACACAAATGAGAAACCATTTCAATGTTCATTATGTGAGAAAACTTTCAAACTACGAGTTCGTTTAAATCAGCATATGACTGTTCATACAGGTATAAGCAAACATTCGTGTACATTTTGTCATAAAGTCTTTACATGTAAGACATCCCTTCAAAAACATCTACCAAAATGTAAATATCAACATAGTCCCTTAAACAAAGAAGATGTAGAGATTATTCCAAAAACTGAATATTTAGACGAGAACCAGATATTAATTGTAGAAATGGGAGAACAGACCAGAGATGTAACTCAATTAAATGATATTAAACTAGAGAATTTAGAAACAGATATAGCTGAAGTGAGTCTACCTACTACCAACACAGAAGAACTGTTTGTTTGTAGTGAATGTAATATGGCTTTTATGACTTTAGAACTGGCTCAAGACCATATTTTAACTTCTCATTCACAGTGAAAAATAAAATCATAAAATATTGAGTAAGGTCTCTGTCACACGTCAGTAAACACGTCAGACCCGTTAGCATATACGTCAAACACATCAGTAGTTCTTGGTTCAAAAGTATGACTTTTTATGTCTAAGCATCAGCATGAACATTTCTGCAACACAGTTTAAATATTATTGTTTAATAAATTATTGTTATACTGATGTCAACTTTATTAATAAACTAGAAGGAATACAAGCTAGACTGCAGCTGTTAAGTGGTGTGAGTAGATCATACTTTAGATAACAGACTAATAATAACAGTCACAAACATTTTGATTGTTCATCCAGAGATTGTAAAGAATTTTTCTAAATTCTTTATGTGTATCTGGGACCCTGATAGCATCAATTTACAGTCAGATGTCTATGGTTACTGAAAATCCAGGAAAGATCAATGCCAAGAGGTTTGGTCAAGGATCAGCTGGTAGAAAGGATCTTTAACTGTGAAGTTGTTATCCTTGTAAAATAAAGTTCTTTCTTTCTTAACCCGTGAGGCCTGAAGATGATAGAATGGTATCATAAATATTGCATTTAAAAACAAATTATTTGGTACATTTTTATACATCAATATATACAAAATCAACAAACAAATATTACATAGTGGACTTCACAAACTACCGTAATGTAGAACAAGTACTATTGAAAGCAGGGCTGAGTGATATACTGGAATCACTATCAAATTAAATTGTGAAATTGACAAAGCCTTATTTGAAAATATCTCTGATATTTGAAGTTGCATTAATAACTACAAAATGCCCACTATTGAAACTTCAAATTCCTTTGAAAATATCAAAAAGATTGCCATACCACCAAATTTTGATAAACAATTATGGGTTTTCTTTCATTCATAGTTATTTTTTATAGACAAAAACAACATATTATTTCAACCAATAAAAACGACACCTATTTCATATTGTGATATCCCCTTGAATTATTTCCCCACATAACTCCTTGCTTATTTCTCATACAAGTTATATGTTCATTATGTTGTATGACTACTAATAGCCACATATACTTTCTTCTGAAGATTGGCAATCAGACTTTTTAAACAGTTCTATTGCACATGCCATAATGAGAATGAAAAGGGAATACCAGTTAAATATTAGAAACGCCCAGTCTCTCTGCTTGTTCTATAGCTAACTGTAAATTATTATCAAAAAGCTCGCATCTGAAAATATATAGAGAAAAAAAAAAGTTTGATGATAAAAATAATGGCAATTGATATTTGCTTAAATGGATTGTAAAGAGGTTTTTAAATTTTTTAGAATTGAAATCGCAGAAACTATAGATGTTGGAATAGTGAAAATTGATGTTATCGGTGTCCCTGATACACATAAAAAAAATCAGAAAACCTCTTTACAATCCCTTTAATACCTCATAGTCTAATACATTATATTCAATGGGTATTACGAATATAAGTAATGCCAGTACATATCAATGTATTTGTTTTAGGAATAACATTATACTATATATATGAAAGATAGCTTGCCAGGCAAGGTAACAGACGCCCACTGGCAGCTGTCAGAAATGGTAAAACAGTCTTTAGTGACTAACGTATGAATTTTCTCATATTACAGAAATTTCAATAGTTTGAATTCAATGATATATATATTTACTGCCAGTTATTAATACTGAGAAATTCCACCAAATTTTTCAAAATCAATATCAATAACCCAAATACATCAAATTATCGCATCAATATACATGATCACACCATGTTTCATTAAAATTAATTGAAAACTGTAGTCTCTAATGTGTTCACAAACAAATTTTGATGCGTTTTTCCTAAGTCAAGGGCAATAACTCAAAGATCGTTCATCGAAATATAGCCAACTTCAGACTTGACCAAGATCTCATCATTATAAATATTCACACCAAATTTGATTAAAATCAGTTGAAAACTGTAGTCTCTATTGTGTTCGCAAGAAATGCTGACGGACAGACGGACCGACGGACAAGGCTGACGGCAATATACATCCACATTTCCATGTGGGCGTATAAAAAATGCTAATAGTAATAGATCAACAGAATCTCTTACCTTATTGGCATGTCTAAGGAATAGAAAGGATTTTTTAAAGCAAAATCAGAATAAACTTCATAAAGTTTCTTTAAGAAAATATCAACAGCTGTTTGTTTAGGATCTGTTATCACCATAAACTTTATACCTGAAACGTATATATCAAAATATTTAAAACAGAAGTGCTTTTTGACACAGTTTAAAGATGGGTTTCCTTATATTATAGTGTCATTTTCATAAATGTGTAAATATGGTGAATCTTTCCAAACATTAGGTCATGGTGAATATCAAATCCAAGTTTCATGGTGGAGAATAATGCTTTAATTAAGTGCCCACCTATTCAAACTAAATGACTTCTGACATCATTCGCATCTGAAACCATTAGTTTTTAGGGGCACAAACATAATTTGAAAGACAATGGCATCGCTTCATAGATAGAAATATAATGTTTTGAGGTATCTTCATGCTTGAAATTTTACTTAGTTGTCTTTTGCCTACCTGTCATAGTTTGAAAGCAATGTAGTTTAAATGTATCAGTTTCTAATAATTCTATCCCAGATGATCTTTGTTCAGGAGATAACTGACAACCAATTGCAAACAACCTGTAACATAGATAAGAAAAAATTTCACATGTATAAATCCAGACATTCTTGTATCAAAATAAATCTGATCTGTTTGTACTGACATAATACTGAACATATTCTATGAATACAAAACTAAGTTATTAGAATGAAACTGTTCTTTTCCATCAGAAATGGTGTTGTACTTACGAATGGAACATACTAGCTAACATAAGCTTTTCATTAGCAGTCAGTTTGGCACGACCAAATTTAATATTAATAGGATAGTTGGTTTCATCATTTAATACTTCTAGAATATCACGTCTGTCCTGTAAATATTTCCCTTCAGCTGGAATTCCATTTATAGATAACACTGTATGTCCAACTGTAATGAAACAAAACATCAGTCATTGTCTAGTTATACATTTATTAGTTAATTCTGAAAGTTGTTGTCTATTATTTAACAATTATTCAAGATAAGATTTTCAAAGACATATCATCGTCTAATTATCATCTAATGGTATTTTAGATGTAGTCAACATGAGGCCTGTGTTAATCTTTGTTCATTGTTTTAATTCTACTATGGGCCAAGAGCAAATTTTATACTTTGACAAAATAAAGTTAATATGAGAGCGCAGCTTTCTCGACGGAAGCTCTCTATAATGGTAACACATACATATACATCAATTCGTTTCAGAAAATTTATGCCCCACGGGTAGTCAAAAAAAAGTGAGAAAAAAGATGGCGGTTCATGGGGGCTGCCATGTTTGTTGACAACTAGATCGCAGTCAATCGGGGTAGTTTCGGAGTGAATATCCTGGAATTCTTTAAATAAATTAAGACAATTGTTTCAAACACAGTAAGGGATGTTTTGTAGCAACTTAACAGCCCTTATGTTTTATTTTTATTTTTCCTGGACTTTCTCCCAAGCAATGGTGGCAGCTTTGTTGACATCATACGTCAAGTTATAATGGCGTCATCGTTATAGATGATTACTTTCACACCTTATAGAAATTTCTCTAGATACCTTATAAAAGATTGTCCACAGATCTTATATTCATACCATCACACATATGATTAGAAGACAAAGTAGTTTGCATAACATACACGATACAGATCAGGTTGAATGGCTTTTATTTAATCATTATTAATTATTGTTTTTTTGTCAATAACCTGCGCTCTCATTCAAGGCCATGCCTTCATTCATATCATGTATCTGAAAAGGGAGAAGCCTGGAAACCAAGAATGAAGAGGCAACGTTGTATGAAAGAGTGGAATATGAGGGGTGGGGCAATTTGTGTACCTTTAATTCCGTCCCTCTCACCGAAAGCCACCATGACTTTTTCATCAAATGTTTTTAGCACAAGTTCAAGGGGATAACTAAACGTCTTTTCAATTTCTGTTCTTTGTGAATTGTGATCATATTGATAGATTAAACCGCCTGCTTTATTGACGATGTAAACACTGAAAATGCCCATGTTTACATTCAGACCCTTTTTGATCTCATTTCCCGTACTCTTCAAATGAAAAGATAACTCCTGGATAACGACTCGATTATCAAGACGGTTGATAGTGAACACGTGCGGAATATGAATGAGTGTGTGTGCGTGCATGATTGTTATTCAGTTTTCGTATAATTGACCACTAGAAAGCATATGTTCTGTCTGACTTTAAATAAATGTCCAATATTTTGTACCTTGCCAGATCCAAAATTCTCACATATATCTAGATAGGCCTTATCAGAAAGATTGCATAGTTCTTGTGTTGTCACTACACTGGCACTCTGCCGGCTGAGACTTTGACTTAGAGAAAGATCAAAGATGTTAGCCGATCTGCATTGCTGCATGCAATAGGCCTATTGTTTTCCCTATTATTGTGTAATTGAACATGAAAAATTATCTTGGAGGTTAGGCCTTATATTTGAAAAATGACCTATATCCAATAATAATTTATAATTTCAGACAAGAACGAAGAAATAGAAAATGAGTGAATCAGTTTTATTGTTAGGAAGTGGTGGTAGAGAACATGCATTAGCGTGGAAACTCTCTCAGTCAAAACATGTCAGTGATATCTATGTGGCACCAGGCAATGCTGGAACTGTCCTTGAAGGTGGCAAAATAAAGAATATTACAGGTAGAGTATGGTCAGCCTTTGTTTGGGTCCTTCCAAACTTTTGTGGAAACGATAAAATGTTAGTCATTAGGTTGGAAAATCAACTCTTGAATTTCAACTCTTTTTTCCCCAGCTGTCTTGGAAGTGGTTACCTGCTTCAGATGACGTTAGACCTCTCTTTAATAAGAAGTATAGTTGAGATCCACCAGTAACATCTAGGTGTAAATTATGACTTCTATTCAATATGTTGTTAAATTGAAATGATTTTGAAATATTTTATAGATCTGGATATCAAGCAGTTTAAAGATGTTAGTAATTATTGCAAAGAGAAGAAGATAAGACTAGTATTAGTTGGACCAGAAGATCCTCTAGCTAATGGTATAGCTGACCATCTCACTGAGAAAGGTAATGCTTTAGCCTAACAAAATAGATTTACTGAACTTACTGTAATGTGTCTATAAGGACAGTGGCCTGTTGCATCAAAATGGTACTGATGCTCTGATTTTGAACCTTTGTTAGGCAGAATGATATCATTTAGTGTCATTCTTAAGTTGGAACCAATTGATATTGATTAAAACTGTTAATTTTCTTTGTTTAGAATGTAAGATTTGTTATTTCAGAAATACCCTGTTTTGGTCCAAGTAAGCAAGCAGCTGAAATTGAGTGGAGTAAAGATTTTGCAAAGAAGTTTATGATACGTCATGCCATTCCTACAGCTCATTATCAATCATTTACTGATCCTGTAGAGGCATGTGAATACATTAACAAGTAAGTCAAGAGATAAAACTATCCTATTTTCATTGTTATGTTTACTTCATTATTAACCTCCATTGGTAATCATTATGACTGTTCTAGTTTGGCCAAAGGCAATAACTAATAAAGGATTTACTGGATATTGATTTTATCGGAGGCTAAAAACCTTCCAAAATTAGATCAAAACTGTTACCTCTATTACATTACCAAGTGGATAACAGGAGGGTGAAAACAACATAGATCTACATTATGTTTGACTATTGAAAAGTACAATGAAGCAATGCGTTTGATTTCAGCCGTGGCTGGGCCTGTCACTATATGTGTATTTATTATTTTGCAGGGCAGATCATAAAGCATTAGTAGTAAAAGCCAGTGGTCTAGCTGCTGGTAAAGGTGTTATTGTAGCTGAATCTCGGGAAAAAGCTTGTCAAGCTGTTAATGATATACTTAAAGTATGGTTAATTTTGTTTACAATGCCCAAAACAAATAAATGTCTCAAACAGGCTATTGTATAATCGATAATTTTTATACGCCCACATGTGGTCGTACACCCCCGTCGCCCATGTCCGTCGGTCTGTCCGTCAACATTTCTTGTGAGCACTATAGAGACTACAGTTTTTATCTGATTTTGATAAAACTTGGTGTGGTGCTTTAGATTGATAAGATCTCGGTCAAGTTCAAATTTGACATATTTTCGATGAACGGTTTTTGAGATATTGCCCTTGACTTTGAACGCCTTGAAATTTGTTAAAAATTGTTTGTGAGCAGGATTGAAGCTACAGTTTTCATCTGATCCTGATGAAACTTGGTGTGATCATTGGAATTGATAAGATCTCAGACAAGTTCTAACTTGACGCATTTTCGATGAACGGTTTTTGAGTTATTGCCCTTGACTTTGTTAAAATGCGTCAAAATTTGTTAAAAATAGTTCGTGAGCAGGATTGAAGCTACAGTTTTCAACCGATTCTGATGAAACTTGGTGTGATCATTGGAATTGATAAGATCTCGGACAAGTTCTAACTTGACGGATTTTCGATGAACGGTTTTTGAGTTATTGCCCTTGACTTTGTTAAAACGCGTCGAAATTTGTTAAAAATAGTTTGTGAGCAGGATTGAAGCTACAGTTTTCAACCGATTCTGATGAAACTTGGTGTGATCATTGGAATTGATAAGATCTCGGACAAGTTCTAACTTGACGCATTTTCGATGAATAGTTTTTGAGTTATTGCCCTTGACTTTGTTAAAACGTGTTGAAATTTGTTAAAAATAGTTCGTGAGCAGGATTGAAGCTACAGTTTTCAACCAATTCTGATGAAACTTGGTGTGATCATTGGAATTGATAAGATCTCGGACAAGTTCAACAAGAGATATTTTTGATGATCATTTTTTGAGTTATTGCCCTTGACTTTGTAAACGTTGTTTTTTGCCCTTGATTAGAGCTGTGTGATTTAATTGTTTGTTGTATTTGGGTTATTGATATTGATTTTAAAAAATTTTGTGGAATTATTCAGCATAAATGATTTCTTCAATATGAGAAAATTCGTACTTTAGTCACTAAAGACTGTTTTATTATTTCTGACAGCTGCCAGTGGGCGTATGTTACCTTGCAACGCAAGCTATCTTTGTTAGTTGGTTACTGCTTTAACATAATAAGAAAATTTAATCAGAATAAGTTTCAATTTTATTGTTACTATTAATTGTCTATTGTGGCACACAGTTTATAATGTGGACGAATATTGTCGTCACCCATGTCCGTCCGTCCACAATTGGCTTGTGAACGTGATAGAGACTACAGTTTTCATCTGATTTGAATGAAATTTGGTGTGATCATGTATATTGATGAGATCTTGGACAAGTTCGATATTCACGATTTTTTGATTAACAGTTTTTGAGTTATTGCCCTTGACTTATGAAAAACGCGTCAAAATTTGTTTGTGAATAAAGTAACGACTACAGTTTTCATCCAATTTTTTGGTCAAGTCTGAAGTTAGCTATATTTCAATTGAAAATTTGTTTGTGAACACAATAGAGAGTACAGTTTTCATCCGATTTAAATGAAATTTGGTATGATCATTTATAATGATGAGATTTGACAATTTTTCGAACAACAAAATTTGAGATATTGCCCTTGACTTAGTAAAAACTCATCAAAATTTGTTAGCGATAGTGGTGACAGTTTATGTCAGAATTTTATTAAAGAATGTGTCAAATTAGAATTTTGGTGTGATTTGCCACAGATAGGTGACTGCCCTTGATATACTGAAAATGTATGAAGAAAGTGGGCGTATCTTGAACTCATTCTTAGGACAAGAAGTTTGGTAATGCTGGTGATGTAGTTATTGTAGAAGACCTAATAGAAGGTGAAGAAGTATCTATTCTAGCATTTACTGATGGTGAAACTGTAGCTATGATGCCTCCTGCTCAAGATCATAAACGTCTCAATGAAGAAGATAAGGGTCCCAACACTGGTGGTATGGGGGCCATTTGTCCATATTCAAAGGTTTGTTGACTTTGTCATTGGAATTTAAAATTACTAAGTAGATAATTTTACCAGTGGTACATCACACCATTGTATCATCTTGCTATAATGAGATGTAATCTGATGTAATGCACATTTTGTGTGAGAGAAAAACTGTGTAAACCTTAAGTTTGAAAGACAAAGGAATTGTCATTGAAAGTTTCCATTATATATTATTTAATCTGGTGTAATTTCATCCAGATCTGTGAAGAAATGTTAAAGTTTATTAAAGAGGAGATAATACAGAAAACAGTTGATGGTTTAAAACAGGAGGGTAGAAAGTATGTTGGTAAGTCAAAATATAGGTATTCTTCTCATTACCTCATAAATCTTATTAAAATTTCCATATTTTTGGCATTATAATGCAATGAAGATGATTTTCAATGCATCAATATACTATGTGTTCAAGATTTAGTTGAACCTCATAAAGTTGGTTATTGTTCACTTCTGCTATGATGTCAGTTTGACTGTTATATTGTAGGTGTAATATATGCTGGATGTATGATAACTAAATCAGGACCTAAAGTTCTAGAGTTTAACTGTCGGTTCGGTGATCCTGAAACTCAGGTATGATAATATCGTTTAATAGAATCAGGCTCTATGTCAATTCAATGAGTTTTAATTAAAGTTTATCTAATCTAGTCTGTGTATTTAATTAATTGACATAACAAGATTGAGGAACATATTTCATCTTAGACCATGTTCATTTCACTGAATTACTGCAAGATATGAATGTTCATTCATGTTAATGGCTTATTGTGATAATGTTTTGTGATACGTTTGTTGATTGTGACATGTTAGGTTATCTTCAAAAGTCAAAACCATATTGATATATATTTTTTTTATTGCAGTCAATCTTGTCCTTATTAAAATCAGATCTATATGATATCTGTAAAGCCTGCACAAACGGTACATTATCAACTAATCGTCCAGTATTTGATACTCAGCATGCTACAGTTGGTATTGTTCTTGCTAGTCATGGTTATCCAGACAAATATCAGAAAGGAATGGAGATAAAAGGTAGGTTATATGGAGGCAGAAGAATTTTGTACTATAACTAAATAGCTGAATGTGAATATGACAATGTTGCAAATCTTAGCATTGGAATATCCTGCAGTGAGGGAATACATTTTTATATGCCCACTTTATATTGTGGTCGTATGTTGTCGTGGCCCCTGTCCTTCTGTCCGTTTTTATCTGATTTTAATGAAACTTGGTGTGATCATTTATATTCATTTGATCTTGGTCAAGTTTTAAGTTGAGGAGCTTTCGATGAACAGTTTTTGAGTTATTGCCCTTGACTAAAGAAAAACGTGTTAAAATTTGTTGTGAACTCAATAGAGACTACAGTGTTCATCTGATTTAAATGAAATTTGGTTTAATCATTTATAATGATGAGATCTTGGTCAAGATTTTTAATTATTGCCCTTGACTTAGAAAAAACTCATCAAAATTTGCCCATGATATACTGAAAATGTATCTGGGAAGTTGGCGTATGCTAGGCAACCACTTGTTATAGGAACATTTTACATATAAAATATGGCATTAAACCTGTGCCACGGCCCTTTGTTGAAGAACAAAATCTTTGTAACATTGTACATGTACAATTTAATGTTATATTAATTTAAGTTGATTTATGTTCACTATTGTCTCGATGTTGCAACATTTTAAACTTTTTTGAAAAGAATGACTCAGATAGCTAAGGCAGCTAATATGATAATTTTCAGGTTTGGGAGATGCCGACAAATTAGGTGTGAAAGTTTTCCATGCTGGAACTCTCCAGAAAGAAGATAAAATTGTCACCAATGGTGGTCGAGTGTTATTGGTGGTGGCAACAGAAACAGATATGGAATCAGCATCCCTGCGAGCGCTACAGGGTGCTGCTATGATTCAGTTTGATAAAGTTTTCTATAGGAAAGACATTGGACACCATGTTCTTAGAGATGCAAGGTATACCTAAATGTTAAAGTATGCCCTCATGAAATATTGTTGTCACCAATGTTTGTTACTTGTACTTAATATTTTTCAGTTTCTAGGTTACTCTGCATTGATATAGCAATATAATTTTGTTCATGTGAATAGAATTGAACTAGATCAAATTTTTCTATTATCATTAGCAGTGATAAGATGTCTTATCAATTATTCACAGTATTATTTATATAGGTGATTAGAAATTGGGTTTGATAACAGTGATTGTGACAGTAGCTATACTAGACAATATAGCAGTCTATTAAGTCCACATTAAGTTGAACATTTATTTTGGTTACTGAAGGGGATTATTATTTGGATAAGACTATAATCAGTTTAGGAAAATTTATTTGAAATCTCCCACATTCTATTTCTCCTCCCTACAGAGAGAAACCTCCAGTATTAAATGGGCTTACCTATAAAGATGCAGGTGTTGATATAGAAGCAGGGAATAGCTTAGTAGAAACTATCAAACCAGTTGTTAAAGATACACAAAGACCAGGATGTGATGCTGCATTAGGAATGTTTGGAGCAGTATTTGATATCAAGGCAGCAGGATTCAAAGATCCTTTGCTTATTTCAGGTACAGATGGTGTGGGAACAAAATTGAAGGTAATTAATCTCTTGGTTTAAAAAAAAAAACAGCTCAAGGGAAACTATGAGACAGAAAGGTTTTGAAACAAGGGTCTCAATCAACCACCAAGTTGTATGCAACCAAAGTAATTTTTAACTGTAAATCAAAATGATATTTCTGTTACTTTAGGCAAATTATATATATCCTTGATGCAAAGCCATTATTTTTCATTTGACCACTTAATGATTGTGTTATAGAGTGTATGAAACTCTGAAATAGGCCAATTACTGAAGATTGAATGGCGATAGAGTTAATATTTCTACATGTATATAACTCTACAATTGATGTATTGAACAATATTTAAACAGTGAGAGAATTCTGTAATTCTAAATATTTTTAGGTTGCTCATGCTGTAGGAAATCATGATTCTATAGGAGTAGATCTGGTAGCTATGTGTGTAAATGATATCCTGGCTCATGGAGCAGAACCATTATTTTTCCTGGATTATTTTGCATCTGGTAAACTACATGTTGATACGGCTGCCCATGTTATTAAAGGAATAGCTGATGGATGTAAAGAAGCTGGTTGTGCTCTTGTGGGTGAGTATTATATTTCAAAGAACAGAAGGTTTCATTTATCCATGGTGAAACCAATATTTGAAACATATTGCAAATAAGAGGACTTAGCTTTTGCTGTTATTTCTAAATTTGATAGAGTAATTCAAAGTTTAGACAGAAATGAACAAATATGTTGAATAAGTACGGAGCCCCTAAGGCGCAATTGTAAACATATTTATTTATTATTTCAATTAAACGAAATAATTATTTCGTTTAAACGAAATAACATCATTTATTTCGTTAAAACGAAATAATTATTTCATTTAAACGAAATAATTAATTCGTTTAAATGAAATAATTATTTCGTTTTAACGAAATACACTATGTTTATTTTGTTTAAACGAATTAATTTTTACTTCTATTTCGTTTAAACGAAATAATTAACCAATCTTTTTATTTCGTTTAAACGAAATAATTATTTCGTTTAAACGAATTAGTTATTCCGTTTAAACGAATTAATTATTTCGTTTAAACGAAATAAACATAGGGTATTTCGTTAAAACGAAATAATTAATTCGTTTAAACGAAATAATAATTTAATTCGTTTAAACGAAATAATATAATGATAAATAATAAATAAATATGTTTACAATTGCGCCTTAGGGGCTCCGTAAATAAGTGGGATCATTAAATGTTTTTATGATTTTATATTATCTTTAAGGAGGTGAAACGGCTGAAATGCCAGGTCTTTATCATGGTGAAGATTATGATTTAGCAGGATTTACAGTTGGAGCAGTAGAACGTGAAAATTTATTACCACGTTTAGGTGATATCAAACCAGGAGATCATGTGATTGGGTTACGATCCAGTGGTCTCCATAGCAACGGTTTTAGTCTTGTCAGACGTATCTTAGAGAAGAAAGAACTGAGATTTGATATGCCCTCACCTTTTAAAACTGGAAAGATGTTAGGTAAGATGTTACTGTGGAATCTAATTTTATTAAGGAACAGATAAAAGTTGAAAAAAGTGATTTCTTGATTAGAAAAATTGCCTGGTATGTCTTGAATTCAAAGAAAGACACTCAATGAAATTATCCCCTCTAGTTTTTCAGGCTATTCACCTATTTCTCAAGGGAGATAACTCTTAAAACAGACTTGATATCTTATGACTACAATATTACATTGATTCTTTCATAAATTTAAAATATCAATGTATTTTTATTGTAGGAGAAGATTTGCTGACACCAACTAAAATCTATGTTAAGAGTTTACTACCCTTGATAAAAGAGAAAAAGATCAAGGCATTCTGTCATATAACAGGTGGTGGTTTAAGAGAGAATATTCCACGTATTTTACCGGAACATCTCTCAGTTACTCTGGATGCTAAGTCATGGTATATGCCTGCTGTGTTTGGTTGGTTATCTGAACTTGTAAGTAGACATTTCACTTTCATATTTATATTTTTTACACGGAATATCATCTCAATCCTTCTTTCATTTGCACTTCACTTGACTTGGAACTGGACTTGAGAGTAAGCTTAAGGGCTGTTGATTTATATTTTGCCATTTGGTTGTTGTATTAGTTCATTGACAGGTGATGGTTAACCTATAGTTAATGCCCAACAGAGGGTATTGGTCCATGGGCATTTTAGCTTCCCTACCAGTCTTGTGTGGAAAATAGAGCCAAATCAACAGCTCTGGTAAGCTTGCTCAATCAGTATAGGATTGTTTTTTCTCAGTTGTTAGACTTAACCCTTGTCTTTGGAGATTTCATGTTACAGCTTTACAAGTTATGTTAAATTTCTTTATAGGGTGGTTTATCTGAAAAAGAAATGGCTAAAACATTTAATTGTGGTATAGGAGGAATAATAATAGTCAATCGTAGTGAATCTAATGATATTATCAAATCTCTAGAGTCTGTAGGAGAATCAGCTGTTATTGTAGGAACTGTTGAGAAATATACTGGTTGGTCTATTCTATCTTTATTTTGCTCTATATTCTCATATTCTTGTTTATAGTCACATTGGTATTTTTATTAATAAACAAAGTAATAATTTATTGGTCAATTGTCACTTTCCATGTTCATGTTTGTTTAATTAGTCTGGTTTTCCCTTGTCAATGATGCTTGCCAGAGGGGTTGAAAAGTGTGCAGTCGTTCGGACGGTACAATAGACAATAGACATGTCTTGTGTGCCACAGGTTGTATACGTTAAAGATCCCTCATCAGTTGAAAATCGAAAAAGGGTAGGTAAATGCAGCTGTCCTGGCAAAATTTTCCTCATTGCACAATGCATTGCATGGTCAGTTTTCTTATTCCCTTAAGATGCATAATAGAAGGAAGCAAAACTTCATTCATTTCATTTTAAGGTAAAGAGAAGTTAAAAATAAAGAATTTAGAGGTAGCATTAGTTCAATCGTGGAGACATGTACCTGGTGTTAGTAGGAAAAAACGTGTTGGTGTTTTAATCTCAGGATCAGGTAAGGAGATATATAAAGAAATAAAGTGTGACAGATATCAATATTTATGAAGAATTTATTGAAAACTATTTAAAATGTTATTAGTGTTTCCTTAAAATAAAATTCACATCATTGTAGTTTTAGAATTTCTTTAATGAAACTATTAAATCACTCAAGTGGGTTATAAATAGGACATAAGATCAAAGTTTGAATCTTTATATCCGAATCTATACCAAAGTTCTATATTTAAACTCCGAGCTAGATTGCCTCTTAATGTCATATCACTACTTTGTTATAATTTGTAATTTAGGAACCAACCTCCAGTCTCTGATAGACTATACTAGAGATGTCAGTAATAATAGCTGTGCTGAGATATTATTAGTGATTTCTAATAAAGATAGTGTGCAGGGATTAAAGAGAGCTAAACAAGCTGGTATTAATACCAAGGTAATTGTTATTTTCCCTAGCCTGTAGTCAGAAGGCCACGATGACCTGCAATATTCCTCTTGGTGATCAAATCTTAAATCTTGCTTACATCCCTATAAACCTAGGGATAAAAATTGTACATGCAGCCTTTATAAACATGGGTAGAGTTACTGACTTTCATTAGCTGGTGCTTTTAAGATTACCAAGTTTAAGATGTGAGGACAATCAGTTCCAATAATCTTGTGTATATAAGAATAGTAAACATGTACCATTTGTTGGTTAATCCATAAGAGTATGATTTTATGATATTCCACTTAGCATGTCATCTGCAGCATATGGACAATATTGCATACCTAACATTGTATTTACCTGCATTGATAGGTAATAAATCATACAGAATATAAGAGTAGAGAAGAGTTTGATGAAGCTGTAAGTTTATCTCTAGAAGCGGCTGGTGTAGAGATAGTTTGTCTTGCTGGCTTTATGAGAATACTCTCAAGTAGGTATTTGTCAGTTTGAAGACCATATCAATGATAGTGATGGAAATCTATAAAGAAAAAGTTGAACTCAACAACAATGTTACAAAATTAACATTTGATATCTTTTTTGAAATTTTATCATGGAATGATGCTGATAGGAAAGTTAATAAAACTCTTTGTATGTATTTCTAAAGTGTGGATAAAACAAAAAATGTTTTCTCAATGATCATGACTGATGTTTTCATATTGTAGGTGACTTTGTCAAGAAATGGCATGGTAGATTATTAAATATACATCCCTCTCTCCTGCCATCATTTAAAGGTGCTAATGCTCATAAGTTAGTTCTAGAGTCTAATGTTAGAATATCAGGATGTACAGTTCACTTTGTTGCAGTAAGTCATAATTTTTTTTTATCAAGTCGCAAACACATATCGTTGACATGTGTCTGTCAATGATGAGTTTCGTTTGCAAGATATACCGGTAAGTGGATATTTGTTAAGTCAATATAAGTTTATAAATCATCTAATACAACACTTTATCAAATGGACAGTATTGGAAAGTCTCAATGTTTAGGATGAATTAATGCACTGTAATTTAATTATATATGGTTGAACAGATAAACGCTAAGGAATCCATGTGATTGAGCTTGTCTAAGATCTCATGTCAGGAAATTGTTCTATTTATATTACAGGAAGAAGTTGATGCCGGTGCTATATTAATCCAAGAATCTGTTCCAGTCTATCCTAATGACACTGAATCTACCCTGTCAGAAAGAGTTAAAAAGGTGGAACACAAAGCTTTCCCTAAAGCCTTAGAATTGGTTGCTAGCGAGGCAGTGAGTTTAAAACCAGGTGGAAAATTAGAATGGAAACATTACTGATTTAGCACAGATTTGAAGAAGAATAATTAAAAATTCAGAAACTGGCTGTAACAGATGAATATTTTATAAAAAAAATAATATAATTGAGCATTTTACCTGTTTTTGTCCATTTTTCCAGATTTCTTATTAAATTATCATATTGTGTATAGGTTTTATACATTCAGATTAAAGACATTTTAATTTTTATACACAAAACTTATGTCAAGAATTCAAAAATATCTAAATCTAAAAACTGACAACATTTTTTCAGAAAGTTTTTAACTTATTTGATTGTTTTAGTTTTTTATTGTTACGTTATTACATGGAAAATAGTAAAAATTCTCAAATTTCATTGAAAAATGGAATGTTGAGATGTGAAATGAGATTGTTAAATGTTAAATTTGATTGTTATATTGTGTATGAAGGGGACTATCATATTGTAATTTGATAACAAGGGCTATGAAATAGCTTTTCTGATATCATGCAGTTTGTCACAAGTTCTTAAAATTATATGATCGTTTCCAATAGATCTGTTTTTTTATGCTGACATTTCTGTAAGACTCATTTCCTTCTGTACATACATCCCTTTTCTTGTAAACTCTCAAGAATCTACCATTTTCAAATAAATTTTCAGAAAACTTTGTATGTATGTATCCACGCTATTGATTTGTGTTTTTGTCATTTTGACAACCTATGAAAGAATGCTTTTATAATATTGTTACATTTGAAAACTTACGATGTAAATATATGACCAAGTTTTCAACCTATTTCCCTTCAAATTGAATGCCTTTTCAGATTTCTTGCTTTTAAAATATTTAAACTCAATTATGTTTCTCGTTTTACAAAGTACTTAGTTAGTTGACAACAATCTTTAACTGTTGTTTTATGATAAAATAACTCTATAATTCTTCTGACTAGCAAACTGTAGCCTTCCATTTGATATTGGGTTACATGAACAATTGTTATTGTTTAAAATACTCTTTTTAATAATTTTTTGTTTTAAAAACCAAAAATTAAGGTTTGAACTTGTTACTTGTTGTTTTAAAGTATAACATGAGTTTTAAAATGAAATTCTGATCCATATAAAATACACAACACCTTAGATTAAGGTGTAATAGTACAAAATATGTACGTATAGTCACTGAACAAGCATGTGATTTGACTATTTAGTAAACTGAGGTGATTATTAGTTATATAACTTACTGTACAGTCTGGTGATTTCAACAATTCAGACCAGTATTTTGACAAATAGTAGTGTTCATTTTAATTATAAATTTTATACTTGTTATTTTGTTGATACATATATGTTGAGAAATAAAATAATTATTTTTCAAAATGTTAAATTAATGCATTATATACAAGATTTGTTTTAATTGAATCTGACATTGTTAATCAGAAATTTCAAGAGTCATTGTCCCTGACCTCTGCAGAATATTTCAATAATATGCTAATTTATTGCATAAAAATGGTTATTAAAGTGAATCATCCGCCATTTTTTTCGGAGTTTATTTAGGTCTTGAATAAATGTAAAATACATACTTCAGAAGTACTAGAAATTAATTGGAAAATACCACAAACTAGGAATTTCACTTTCTATTCCTATAGATAGGTAGATGACAAGATAACATTCGCTTCCAGCGGATGCTGATGTCGCAAACTATTTCTATACACATATTAGTCTTTTTCTAAGCCCACATGGAAATGTATATTGCCGCCGCCCCTTTCCGTCGGTCCGGCCGTTCACATATCTTGTGGGCGCGATAGAGGCTACAGTTTTTGTCCGATCTTAATCAAAATTGATAATAATTTGAGTACTGGTTTCAGAGTTATTGCCCTTGACTTAGTAAAACACTTCAAATTTCGATTGTAGGCACGATAGAGACTACAGTTTCTATCCTACCCAGATGAAACTATGCATGTATATGTTGATGAGATCTCAGTCTAGTTTTTAATTGGTAACAATCAGATGAAGGGTTTCGGAGTTATTGCCCTTGCCCTAAAAACTTGTCAAATTCGCCCTGCAGGCACGATAGAGACTACAGTTTTTATCCTATCTTGATGAAACTAGATGCATATTGTATATTAATGAGATCTCGACCAAGTTACAAATTGGTAATATTTGGATGAACAGTTTCAAAGTTATTGCCCTTGTGTGTACAGCGATGAGACATTGTTCGTGTTTGAATTTGATGATAATCTTATGAACTGTTTCAGGTATTTACCTTGACTTATAGATGATTTTAAGATTATTTGAAAATTCATAATTAAGACACTAAATATTTTGTTATCATTTCTGAAAGCTATCTTCTATAAATTTTGCGGTCTCAAGATAAAGACAGTCATTTTAACTAACAAACTAATGGCTTTCTTGGGAACTACAGTGGCTCAGTGAGTGAACGCTTTTCATTTTGATACCGATATCGAACAACATATACTTTGTCTAACAAATCTTGTCAGCTACACGCTCAGCAAACAAAACTCAAGATAGCTTGCCAGGCACGGTAACATACGCCCACTACCAGCTACCAGAAATGATAAAGTCTTTAGTGGCTTAATAACGAATTAAAAATATTTAAAAATCGACGCAAAGCCTCAAAAAAAAGTTCATCAAATTGTCATTTAATTCAAACATGAACAAGGTACTATCGACGTCCACACATCGGCAATAACCCTGAAGCCGCTTATTACGTAGTACGTACTTGATCGAGATCTCATCAATATATACATGCATACCAAGTTTCATCAAAATCGGACAGAAACAGTAGCCTCTGCCGTGTCTACAAGTCAAAATTGATGCGTTTTTAATTATTCAAGGGCAATAACTCTGAACCCGTTTATCTGATTACTACCAATTTCAAGCTTTATCGAGATCTAATCAAGATATACAGGCATTCCCAGTTTCATCAAGATCTCTATAGTGCCTGTAAGCCAAAGTTGATGCGTTTTACTAAGTCAAGCCCAATAACTACCAACCCCTTAATCCGATTATTACCAAATGCGAACTTGGCCGCGATCTGACCAATATATATATACAGGCATACCAAGTTTCAATACTGAAGCATCTGTCGCGTCTATAAGAAATGTGAACCGACGGACAGGGGCGACTGTATATGAATACATCCACATTTCCATGTGAGGGTATAAACAAATTTTTCAATCAGTAATTTGATAAAAAGAAATTCCCAAATGAATAAATATTGTAACTTCAATCAAATCAGCATCTATTTAATAATTTATTTAACAATAAACACTACTCCGGTATCCATTTTGGTAATTCTTTTGGCCCATTTGGCTTTGCGTCGTTGAAGTCATATTTTCTGTCCCTACAAGCTGCCTGACATCTCCTTATTTGGCAATTTGTGGAAGTTCCCCGATGGCGTACAAATCCTCTGGAAAACTTAGGTCTTTACCATGGATTCTTACATTCACACAAATCAAAATCAATATAATATTTCATTTAGCAACTTTTGTGGGGTTGAATAGGCCTACATACGACGGCATAACACTTGGCCTATAGGCTACTACTCTGGTATCCACTTTGGTAATTCTTTTGGTCCATTCGGCTTTCCGTCGTTGAAGTCATATTTTTCTATCCCTACAAGCTGCCTGACAACTTTTGATTTGGCTATTTCTGGAAGTTCCTCGATGGCGTACAAATCCTCTGGCAAACTAGAATCTTTTTTATGGATTCTTACATTCAGACATGGCATATGACATGTAAGTAACATATTTTCATATGCATACTTTTTAATCTGTAAATCTTCCTCACTCAACCACTGAGCCGGCATCATACAAGCGAATATTACAAACCGCCAACGATCTGAATTCGGACGGCCAAAAGTTGCTTTGACGTTATCGTGAACAGTTCTCGAATCCCATAAAATCATGGAACCTTTTGGTGCTGGAATTTTCTTATTGACACACCCTTTAGATTTATACCATTCGATTTCGGAATTTGATAGTCTATAATGATCTTTTCCCTTACTTTTTTCACATGCTTGAGGATGGGTTGAAAAAAATTCATCTGTGAATTTAACAGAACCTTCCATTACTCGAAGACACTGGTCAGTCAGGGACGTTTCTTCCAAATACACACCCCCTTGTACAGCATGTAAACCTCGTCTACGACCATCTCGATCCACATGAAGCCAAATATACCCTGAATCAAAATCTCCAGTACCCTCTTCTGGTGGAGGTGCCATTGAAAATTTATCAAAACTGGAAACCAGTTTATCCGTTCCCCAGAGAGCTGCAAACACTTGTTTTGCATGCAGACGAATTTTCCATATTGTTTCAAGATGACCAACTCTTGGCAGGTTCATCAATGAAAACTTGTGGGTAAAATCTAAACCGTTTTGGTTGGCTGCCCAATCTTTTAACTCTGTAATATACTGGTCACATTGTTCAATGCTGAGGACATTCGGTACTACACAATATCCCCGTTCTTCTAATTCATTCCACATTTCATCCCTTAAATAGAAGAATATATCATTTGAATATTGTCGGAGAAAGAGTGAGAGTTTTATTATCATAACAAATATAAGGGTGAACTGCACTGATCATGACCCTCAGCGTAGGCTGAGAAACTGAACCTGACACAATCTCCTTGAAATTATTTTGATGGCTTGCTCCTGAGAGATGGTCAGAAAGAAATTAAAATTTCATGGATACTTCACTTTTTGCGTATAATTTTATTGCAATACAATATTGGATTTGAGAGGCGTGGGTTGTTTAATAAAGTCGTTCAGAAATACGTCAGCCCATTTAAAAATCAATAAAACAGCTCACCTGTTGAAGTTCGACATGTTAAAATATATGTCAGTAGTCCTACCCAGGTATCACAATAATACACTAAACAGTTTACTCTATGTAATCCGACACCCACCCACTCGGTCCGTTAAAATATGTCGGTGTCGATAAAAGTGTCGTATGGTAGGTTATATCTAAGGCTACACCACCTTCATCTTGCATCATAGGTTGACATTATTATACTATATTTATCCATTCAAAAGATAACATAC